TTTTGTTGATAGCCATCTAAAATAATAATGTTTGTATATAATATAAAATTTATATCATAAATATACTATACTTATATATATAAAAGCTATTTTTAATTATTTATTTGAATTTAATTAGCGAATTGCAATTGAAGACTAATTATTATTATTATTATTATTATTAGACAAATTTTGTTTGATAATTATAAAGCAAAAATATTTATTTAATATTTTTACTGCACATTTGTATGGACACAAATAGCACAAAACTACAAACTTAATAAAACAATAGAGTAATTATATAACAATGATTAAAATAGTTAAAAATATTAAATAATTAAATATAATAATAATAATAATATAAAAATATATCTTTTATATATATATATAGTTATATATATATTAAATAAAAGACAATTACTTATACATCAAATATAATATAATAATATAATCAAAATATATTTAATAATAAAAATTGTTTTGTAAATTGATTTCTCTCTTTCTCTACGAAAATCTCTTTTTCCTATTCATTGTTATTATTATCATATCGTTGTGTTGTTGTCATTGAATCCCCTAAACTCCTAAACTCCTACTCTCTCTCTCTCTCTCTCTCTCTCTCTCTCTCTCTCTCTCTCTCTCTCTCTCTCTCTCTCTCTCTCTAACTATCATATTGTTTGAGGAATGCCATTGACTTTAATAATACTATCGAGTTTTACACTCGACTTACTCTATCTCTCTATTATACATAACATAGAGTAGTAGTAGTAGTAGTAGTAGTAGTAGTAGTAGTAGTAAAATATACAGAATATACAGAATATAATATATATATATATTGTATATACAGAGACACATTCATATGTAATAGATATCCATTTAGGTGTCTATCCTCTATATTATATACAGTATATACTGTATATATATATATATATATAGTATTAAAGTTGTATAATTGCAACAAACAGTGTAGAGAAAAGTTACTATTGAATGATAATAATAATAATAAAAGAAAAAATAATTATAACAATAGAATCTCTCTCTCTCTCTCTCTCTCTCTCTCTCTCTCTCTCTCTAATATATTGTACATAGAAATAGATATCTAATTAATTTTTGTTTAAAAAAATATTTATTATACTACAGTATTATATGTATCTAATTATCAATTTTCATACATTTGTATAAAATATATATCTATATACAGTATTATATTCAAAATTAAAACACACACACACACACACACACTCAACAAAAATATATTTAATAAAAATTTAATTAAATATATAAAAAATATACTAATAAATTATTATTAATAATCACAATAAATGAAAATAATATTATGTAATAATTTTACATCAATAAAAATCTCATTAGATTTAATATCATACCATATATGTGTGGAAGTTATAGTAAAAGTATTATATAAATTACTAAATAGAAAAATTTAATAACAAAATATATATTATATATTGCATTATATATATATATATAATATTTAATATAATATATATATATAGTGTTAAGCACTGGGATTATTAATGTATGTGTGTGTGTGTGTGTGCTTTTTGCCCAAATAATTTTATTGACAGATAATAATCTATATATGATGTATATATCTAGATATATACCTATAATACTATATATATAACAACTGTGATATAACATCCATTTCCTAATAGCATTATATACCCACCAAAGCAATCAATGCCTTAATACAATGGGCGCTGCGCTCCCGGAGCTCACACACACACACACACAGTAATGTAATGGTGTAACATCTGGTTCCCGCACATGTATGCATAGAAAAAAACATACAAAACAAAAAAATAAAATCATATCTACACACTTAGTCCTAATACTATGTTATATACCGTGAAAAAAACCTAATATACACCATATATTGTATTGTCAGTTATATACTGTACAGTATATATATATATACTGTATATTTTGTTATACAATACTCAATGTACTCAATATATTTTGTGTGTGTGTATATTATTTGTTTTACTCTCTGCTCTCTCTCTCTCTCTCTCTCTYTCTCTCTCTCTCTTTCAGTCATGAAATGCAGTTTTTCTGTGTGTATATATACTGTATACGGTATATAAATATATATATTTTTTTATTTCCCAAAACGATACCTAAAAACATAAATGAAAATACACTTTATGTATATAGAAATATATATATATATATATACAGAATATTCTGGTAGTGTTACTGAATATACCCGTTCACTACAACAATACTAATGCATACATAAAGTACTAGTACTGTACTATATACTAGTGTTACACACAGTTATATAATGTCTACTACTATTGTTAGTATTATTATTATTATTTGCTTTAATATTACCAATGGTTTTAGTTTTTTGTTGTTGTTATAYTATTTTTTTYCTCTCTCTCTCTCTCTCTCTCTCTCTCTCTCTCTCTATCTATCTATCTATCTATCTATCTATCTATCTATCTATCTATCTATCTATCTATCCATCTTTATGTTGTTTTTATATTAGTTAGTGACTAATATTACCAATGCACTATTTATATAATTGAATTGTTTTTTTTGTTTGTTTGTTTTATTTGCCTAATGCATTGATAAAATACATTAAGTTTTTTTTAAATAAACTATATGTATATCTATTTACTATATATATACAGTAATTGCATAATAATAGTACTCTACATATATTTATATATAAATATACAAAACTCAATATCAGTTTATACATCAATTTTATTAACGTTTTTTCTATATATATAATTTTATAAATAATTTATATAATTATTGATTTTTAAAAACTATTGATTATTTTTTTTTATATACATATAATATATATTTTTATAAAATTTTATATTAACTATTTTTTAACTATATATATATATATATATATATATATATATACAATAAATAACAATTAGTCGAAACATAATTATTTATTTTAAAAATATATAAAATAGTTTACTTTGTGTCACTAATAATGACAACCACTTTATACATGTTTAGTTGTCTATTGTTTTTAATTATCAAATAATATATATAWATATACACACATAATAAAAAATATTTTCATTATAATAGAAAAAAATGTGTTTAGAAAAATAAAAATTGAATATAAATACCATTGAAAAAAATCATCATAAAATTAATATAATAATAATAATAATATCATCATCAAAACAATAGGCAATTATGATATCCACTATAATATAATAATAATAATAGACTATATTAATGATGATAATAACAATGAATCACTATTTTTTTAATAAGTCAATTAATAATAATAATAATAGTCAAATAATAGTAATTTTTAATAATAATGATAATATCATAATAATAATAATAATAACAAAACTAATAGTCAATATTACACATGTATAATATTATGCATAATAAATATAATGATGTTTTTTTAGAGAGAGAGCACCTAGAGTTCAAAAAAAAATTTAGCTAGCTAACTGTGCGCGCACCTACCTATATACTAKATATATAGTAACCCTCCCACCCCTCCCCCGCAGCTAACAATAATCAAATTAGTATATATATATATATATATACACCAAAAAAAATAATACTACAAATCACTTACCAAACCGATGGATGCAATAATAGTGACAAACAGATGACAAACCAGACTTTTGTGTGCCAAACGATACCAGAAAATGGTAACATTTTTTTATGACTATTGTTGTCAACTAAATCCAATGGTATCGCCTCTATTATTAGCTGATCCGTGTCGTCGTCGTCGACCACCACCWCCCGTTCCTCTTTGTTGTTTACGTTTCTACTACACCCGTCCAGCCGATGCCGATGCCGGTYGACACCACACTCATCAACGATTGCCGCCGCCGCCGCTAACCACTCATCAATGACTCCGCAGCCGATTGCTAGACAATCATTACCGCTGTCAGCATCGACATCCCGGGCCCTATCGATGCTGCTGCCGCCCTCCCACTGCTGCCGGTCCTCCAGCACTGAATCGGTAATGTCGGCCACAATTGCCGCCGCAGCAATCAGTTTTAATTATTTAATTATTTGCACAATTATATTGTTAATWATATAATAATAATAATAATAATAATAGTTAATAGTCAGCAGTAGTTAATTGTAAATTTTTTTTAGTATATAACAAACAAGCAATAAAATTCACACCAAAAATATATATATATATATATATAAACTAATGAGACGATTGGGTATTATTCAAGTGGTCGTACCACTTGTCATACAAATAATAACAATATACTGCAATAATAATAATAATAATAATAGCACACAACACACACACTGCTGCTGCTTCTGCTGGTTGTATAGTAACTGAGCGCCCAATCCCTTAGTACAGTATATACGGTATGTACTGTTAGACTATATCGGGTATATACTGTATATATAKATATATATATAGATATAAACTGTAGTTTCTTTTTGTGAATATATATATATATATATATATATATATATATATATATATATATATTGAACACTCAAACACACATACAAACTGCTTATGTATGCGATTCTGTGTTGTTGTGTCGCTCAGAATATTCTGTATATATATATATACAGTACTGTATGTATGTATGTATGCCCTAACAGTGCTCTCTTTCTCTCTCTATGTACTATACATTAACTGTTAGGACATTGATTAGCACTGTCTCTCCCAGTGTGTGTGTGTGTGTGTGTGTGTGTGTACAGTATGTATGAGTTGGCGCAGTTGTGTATTTTCATAGATGATGGTAGTGGTGGTGATGGTGCTGGTGATGGTAGTGACTAAACTTTGACTAAAAGTTTTTTAAAAATGGGGAAAAAATAGATGAAAATATTATTGACTAAATTTATTGACTTATATTTACATAAAAGTTTACAAATAAGTTTAAATTTCTATAGATTAATATATATATATTACTATACATTTGATAATTTAGCTAAAATTTATATAAAATAATAATAATAATAATAATAAATTAGTTAGAATTTAGTTTTGTTATACAAGTATATATACGGTATATATATTATAATATAACTAAAAACATTTACAGTATATTAAAACTATTATTATTTGCTAATAATTTTAATAATAAATAATAATAATAAAATAATATTGAGGAGGTATAATATATAATATATATATATTATTAGTATATATATATATAGTTGAGTTTATTATACATTATATATCACTGAACAAACATTTTAAAATTATCACTTATTTATATTTAAAAAATAATACAAATAGACAACAACAAAAAAACAAATTCATATATTATCTCATATTTTATGTTAATTTTTATCAAAATTTTTTTAAATATTTAATTTTATAAATTAAATAATATTCAATGTCTTAATTAAATGTCGAAAATTTACATATATTTAGTTATTATAAAATCTTATAATCAATTATTAATCAATTATTAAACATTTGAACAATTTAAAAAAATTTGTAAACATATTATAATATAGTAATATATTTAAATAAAGTTTAGAATTATATTTTTTTAAAATTTAATACTAATAACTGATAAATTTTTTAAATAAAAACAATTTAAAACAAATAAAGATTATATAAAGTATTTTAAATGATTTAATGATTAATACATGTAATTGTTATGTTAAATGTAAACTAATTTAAAAAATTAAATTTTATTGTAAAATAGTATAAACTCTAATTTATTTATTTAGATTACAAAAAAAATATAATAATAATAATTAAAATATTTAACAATATTTATTACAACAAAAATTATAAAAACAATTCAATAATCATATATATATTACTAATTATCGTTAAATTAATTTACTAAATATAAATTACTACTAAATTTACTAATTTATTTCTAATTAGATTTTGATTTACTATAGGATTTAATAAAAAATTTTGAAAACATTATCAGAAAAACAATCGGTTGTAAAGCACCGAACCATTTGTATATTAGGGGATAGTTAGCCATATCTTCCAGTATTATACAATAGAAAGCATACATCAAAAATAGGACAAACTGTACTAATTGTAAACCAGTTATATAGGGTTTACACCATTGGATATACGATTGTATAGTTGTTCCCAAAGCGGCCAACAAATAATAGAAATACATAACCGTATGGACTATACTGTTTAGTAGGCAAAACACTTCAAGTATAACCGTTTGTGGACACCAGGCCACTGATGCCCAACACAATAGTGATACTGTGCAAAAAAATAATAGCTATTAATTTCAAATTACTAAATACCCACTAAATTCACACTAAATTCACACTAAATTCACACTAAATTCAACTAAATTCCCACCAAATTCCCACTAAATTCACACTAAATTCCCACTAAATTCCTACTAAAATCACACTGAAATCACACTAAAATCACACTAAAAATCACACTAAAATCACACTAAAAACACACTAAAATCATACTAAAATCACACTAAAATCACACTAAAATCACACTAAAAACACACTAAAATCACACTAAAATCACACTAAAATCACACTAAAATCACACTAAATTCACACTAATTTTTTCACTTCAGGTTAGGAGGAGAAGTAAAACTCAAAAATTCTCGATCTTAGGGGAGGTAAGAGATTTTACCGCCTACCCCGCCCCCATTTAGCAACCCTGATATATATATATATATGATATATTGATATTTACCAACAATATGATGATAAACGTGTAGAAATGTTATTTGCGATGATTTTTTACGTAATACAAAAAATATAGTATCCAACAAATCGACAAGTTTTGTATAAAAATATAACATTTTCCAGTCAAACACCCGTACAGTATGGATGGTCCAGACTATTGTTGAACCCATGGGTGGTATGTATGGATTCAATGATTTTTGGCCAAATTCAAGCCATTGCAGTGATTGCCAACAAAAGTAGCCATTGATTACAACTAGTAGTCCATTGTAGACGACTAATGTCCGAAACAGTTGAAATGGTTGTCTATTTATCATCAATTGGGGACCAATTACGGTGACAAACATGAAATAGGCTAATATTATAGCCATAAATAGTTCCGGTCTATTCAATAGTAAATAGCCGGCACGTGGATCTGTTAACACTATTATATATATATATATATATATATATATATATATATATATATATATATATATATATATATATATATATATATATATATCAGATAGTCACAATAAATAGTGATATATATATATATATATATATATATGAAAAAACAAAATTTTATAAAATATTGAAATTTAAAACTAATCGATAGTTTTTTAAAGAAAATTTTTTTATTTACCCGTTTCAGTGTTAATGATGTTAATCTCATTTGTAATAATATTATCCATAGTTTTTATTTTTTTTTAAATATCAATAATACTAATCACTAATCACTAATAATTTAATAATAAATATATTTTTTAAAAAATAATTATAATTTCATATAATAATACTAATTTTTTTTGGTTGTCTAAATAAACTAGTAATCAGACAGTTATTATATTTGTAGTATTAATACCACTAATAGATATACATAGTATTTGAGTATTATTTAATAAAAAAATTTATTTTAATAAAAATTAAATTTAGAAAAAAAACTGTTATTTATAAATAAAGGAAAATTATTATTATGCATTTATTTGTTAATAATAATAATAATACAAATAAGTTTTTCTATAAATAAAATTAATTATATAATATTTTTTTAAAAAAATTATTAAAAACATTTACAAATTATTAGGAAAAATACATTTTTAAATTACAATTAACTTTTAAAAAAAATAAAATAAAATAAAACTAATCCTCATATCGATCAATCAATCAATTATTTTTATTTTTTAAATTTGTTTGTTAACTAATTATTGATATTATTATTATTAATATTAATATTATAAATATATAAAATATATTATTAGTACAGTTTATTAACACTATGTGAACTATATAAATTAATTATAGTAACAATTATTTATATAATTTAATTAATTAAATAATTTTTTTCTAAAAATATTTTGCTGACATAACTACATGTCGTCAACAAAAAATAAAAATCAAACTAAAAATATATTGATATATTAAGTGGACAATTATCGCAATAAGGAAAGTGATGACAGTTTAGATGTTTGCTATGGAGAAGCTTATAGACGGCTTTCCTTAATTTTTCACAAAAAATATTTTTTTTTTGATAGTGTAGTAAAACCGATGACTCCGAGGACATACCGTTATTGTGGAAATGTATGTAATTTTGTTGTCGTTTTTTTTATACACAATCACTGACTGACTGTTTATCATTTAGTTTATTATTATTATTATTATTATTATCATATTATAAAGTAATTTATTAAATTAAAAATAATTATTAAACAAAACTATTTTTTAATCATAATTTTGATTATTGAAAATACAAATTTAGTTTATTATTATAAAATTATTATTTGTTTTTATAAAAATTAATTATGTGAACAAAAATTGTTTAAAATATTTATATATTTTTATGCATCAATTAAATTTTTTTTCATTAATATATATATATATATATATAACTAATTATTAGTTTAATTATATTATCTTATATTAAAAAAATTATATTAATTATATTATAAATTATTTTATATATAATTTTTTTTATATATTTTCTGAATTAATAAAATATGTCATGTTTATAATATTTTAATAATAATAATAATAATATGAGCTATGTACTTTTAACTACTAAATGTTTTCAATTAAAATATTGTAGTTGAATAATGAAAAATTTCCTAATAAAAAAATATAATAATATTTACATAATAATATTAAGTAATCTAGTTTAAAAATAGTTAACAATTTAACAATTTAATAAAAAAAACTAAAATAATTTTAATTTAATTTTCGTTTACTATAGGATTTGATATAAAATTTTGAAAACATTATTAGAAAAACAATGGGTTGTAAAGCACCGAACCATTTGTATATTAGAGGATAGTTAGCCATACCTTCCATAAGTGTACAATAGAAAGCATAGACTAAATATAGGATAAACTGTACTAATTGTAAACGTGTTATATAGGGTTTACAACATTGGATATACGGTTGGATAGTTGTTTGGCCAAACGTTGACAACAAATAATAGAAATACATAACCGTATGGACTATACTGTTTAGTAGGCAAAACACTTCCAGTATAACCGTTTGCGGACACCAGGCCACTGATGCCCAGATTAATAGTGATACTTAAATTTAAAAAAAATATATATATTTATATATAGCTATTAATCTAAAATTTTTATTATATATATATCAGGTTAGGTTTGCTAAAGGATTTCGATTTCAGGGGGAGGGATATAGGGGGTGGTAAAATGGCCCAAAAAACTCGAAAAGTTTGGGGGGTATAGTGGGTGTGTGTGAACATTATTTATTGCATATTTTAAACGACAATTTTTGCCAAATTTGTGTATATTCCCCACTAAATTCACATTAAAATTCTCACTAAATTCCCACTAAATTCCCACTAAATTCCCACTAAATTCCCACTAAATTCCCACTAAATTCCCACTAAATTCCCACTAAATTCCCACTAAATTCCCACTAAATTCCCACTAAATTCCCACTAAATTCACACTAATATCCCACTAAAATATCACTAAATTCCCCCTAATTTTTTTACTTAAGGTCAGTGGGAGTAAAGTCCAAAAATTCTCGATCTCAGGGGGGTAAGAGGTCAACCCCCCCCCCATTTAGCAACCCTGATATATATATATATATATTGATATTTACCAACAATATGATGATAGACATGTAGAAATGTTATTTGCGATGATTTTTTACGTAATACAAAAAATACTGTATCCAACAGATCCACTAGTTTTGTATAGAAATATAACATTTTCCAGTCAAACACCCGTACAGTATGGTTGGTCCAGACTATTCCAGTAGCAGCTGGTGGTATGTATGAGTTCAACGATTTCTGGCCAAATTCAAGCCACTGTAGGGATAGCCAGCTATAGTAGCCATTGATTACGACTAGTAGTCCATTGTAGACGACTAGTGTCTGAAACAGTTGAAATGGTTGTCTATTTGTCATCAATTTGGGACCAATTATGGTAACAAATACTAAATAGACTAACATTATKGCCATAAATAGTTCCGGTCTATTGCATAGTAAATAGCCGGCACGTGGATCTGTTAACACTATTTGAAAAAAACAAAAATTATTTTTTTAAAAATAATACAAAACTAATTATATAATTAATATACCTATTTCAGTGTTAATCTCATTATTATTATTATTATCCATAGTTTTATAAATTTTTAAAAAAAATCAATTGYTTTATAATAATAATAAATATATTTTTTTTTTGAAAAAATAATAATGGTTTCATATAATAATAATAAACATTTATTTTTTSTTAGTTACTAGTAATCAGCTAAAAGTATTATTATTRTTATTATAAGTAATAGTATTATAAATAGTTTTATTTTCTAATAGAGATAACAAAATCTATGGAAACATATTATACTTTAATTGTATTATTTTTCAGATATATATATATATATATATATATGTATATATATATGTATAATTGAAATTAGATAAACTGTTATATATGTTGTAAACTAAAAAAATAATATTATTATTTTAGTTTAAATATCGATTATATTTTGTCATAAAATTTTTTCAAAAAAATWGTTTTTATATATTTAAATTAACAAATTGAATGTTGTTTTTATATATTATAATTTTTAATATAATCAAGTATTTTTGTTAAAAACAATAATATTAATGTTATTATTATTTTGTTAAAGTAATAATATTAGATTAGCTTATAATAGGTTAAATGTTAAATTTTTATGATAAAATTATTTARTTTAGAAATGTTAAAAATAAAATAGTTATTAATCCAYYAATATTGAGATTACAATATTTATTAGTCATTAATATYATTAAAATTACTAAAAAAATTTTTTTATTTAAAAATGTACTAAACTKTGTTGTTGTTAAAAAGTATTTACTAATAAACTATATGTTAATAATAATAATTGAATTGAATTTTAAAATTAAACAATAAGTTTTGTCTACAATAGTAGATCACATAGAGTGGCCAAACTTAACAATATAAWTAATAATTAATTTTATTAATAAAAAATAATATCCAAAAACTTTAACTAAGTATTATAGAAAATATTTTTTATTTTTAAAAAATATTAATTATTGTTTTTTCAAACATTTTTGTTTGACTATAAACARCTAATAATTATAAATTATTATGTAATATATATATTGTATATAATTAAATCACAAWAAAAAATTACATCAATCAATCATTTTATTAAATTATTTAAAATAATATAATAAAATAWTTKATATTAGTGTTGTTAMTAACAGTAATTAATTATTTTTATAATTATATTTATTTGTTTTTTATAATTAATTTCAATATTTATATATATATATATATAAATAATTATATATATATATATATATATATATATATATATATATATATATATATATATATATATATATATATATATATATAATCAATAAAGTTTATATTATTATTATTAATTTTYAAGTTTAYATTATTTATTTATTTWTTRTATATTGAAACTTATTTTACWTTATTAATATTGATTTGTTTTATTTGAAAAATAAAGTTTTAAAGTTTGTATTTTAATATATTGTAAAAATATTATACATCATTATGTTATAAAATAATGTTTGTTTAAATTATTTACAATTTTTATCAAATTAAAGTTTGATAAMTAAAAGTTTATTATCWGTTAATATAAAGTTTATAAATATATAAAAAAAATTAAAACTAAATGTTTTTTAAAYAATATTATTTATATTTGATTAAATTAATTAATAATTTAAATGTATTAAAAAAATTATTATTTTTTTATAAAAATATTTGACTTTAATACAATTAAGTTTGAAATATTTAATAATTACTTTATATATAATAATAATATAAATTATTTTTAGTTTAATTTAGATTTAGTATAGGTTTTCATATAAAACTGTGAAAACATTACCAAAAAGACAACCGGCTGTAAAGCACCGAACCATTTATAAACTGGTGGATAGTTGACTACACCGTCAATAAATAGACAATAGATTTCATAGACAAACAATATGGCAAACTGTAGTAATTGYAGWCCAGTTATAAATGGTTTACATAGACGTATATATCGTTGGATAGTCGGTCCAAATGTTGATAATAAATAATATAAATACATAACCGTATGGACTATACTGTTTAGTAGGCAAAACAGTTCAAGTATTACCGTTTGCGGACACCAGGCCACCGATGCCCAGGTTAGTAGTGACACTGTTGAGGGGGTGGGTGGCAAACAAATAAATATTAGTACAGATATAGTATAACAAGCAATTAAAAAAAATAATAAATAATTTTTTATTTTACTAAATTCCCAATATATTCCCACTATATCAGTAATTCCCCTAATGGGCTTAAAAGCTTAATTTTTGTAAAAAATAGCCCATGTAGCTTAATATTTATAATTAATTTTTTTACCATGTTTAAATAAACTTATTAATATTTTGATAACTCATTTTCATAAATATTTATTTAAAACACATACTCAATGTATTTGAAAAATGTGTCATATTAAAATTGAACATGCTATAGTTATAAATTTTTTATTGTTTTATTTTCATCTATTTAACTATAGCATGTTCAATTTTAATATGACATAGTATTCAAAAACATTTAGTATGTGTTTTAAATAAATATTTATGAAAATGAGTTAGGCGTGGTTCACATATTACGTTCGCACTTGAGGGGAGGGGGGTTAGCCAAAGCGAACTTTTGCGAACAAGGGGGAGGGGAGGGGTAGAGACATTAAGAACGTTCGCAATTAGATAATATTTTATTTATTGTGGTGGGGGGGGGGTAGCGGTTAGGGACAAGCGAACGTAATTTTTTTAAATGACTACATGCGAACAATTTGCGAACATAGGGGAGGGAGGGGGTCTAGATTTCTTAAAAAGTGCGAACGTAATATGTGAACAACGCCTTATCAAAATATTAATAAGTTTATTTAAACATGGTAAAAAATTTAATTATACATATTAAGCTACATGGGCTATTTAAAAAAATTAAGCTTTTAAGCTCTTATTACTATATATTCACACTATATTCCCACTAAATTCCCTCTAATTTTTTGGCTTCATGTCAGGGGGGGGGGGGGGGTAAGACCCAAAATTCTCGATCTCAGAGGGTAAGAGGTCGGCAACCCTGATATATATATATATTTATATATTGATATTTACCAACAAAATGATGATAGACGTGTAGAAATGTGATTTGCGATGATTTTTTACGTAATACAAAAAATACTGTATCCAACAGATCCACTAGTTTTGTATAGAAATATAACATTTTCCAGTCAAACACCCGTACAGTATGGTTGGTCCAGACTATYGTTGAACYCWTGGGTGGTATGTATGGACTCAATGATTTCTGACCAAATTCAAGCCATTGCARCGATAGCCAGCTATAGTAGCCATTGAYTATAACTAGTAGTCCATTGTATATGACTAGTGTCCGAAACAGTTGAAATGGTTGTCTATTTRTCATCAATTKGGGACCAATTASKGTAACAAATACTAAATAGRCWAACATTAGTACCACAAATAGTTCCGGTCTATTGCATAGTAAATAGCCGGCACGTGGATCTGTTAACACTATTTGAAAAAACCAAAAATTATTGTAAAAAAATAATATAAAACTAATTAATTTGTATATATATATATACCTATTTCAGTGTTAATCTCATTATTATTATTATTATCCATAGTTTTATATATTTTGAAAAAAATCAATTGCTTTATAATAWTACTAATAAATATTTGTTATAAATAATTATAATWATTATTGATTTATATAATAAAACATTAACAAAAACATATATTAAGTAATAAAAAWATATTTATTTATATAAAAAATTAAATTATATGTATATATATATATATATATAATTATAATTAGCAAACTGTTTATTTTTGTTGTTGTTGATCATATCATGTCATATATATACGGTATATTAAATTGTTTTCAAATTTTTATTATTTACAAATATATGAAAGTTAATACATGTAGTTTTARTTTATATATATGATAGTATATATATATATATATATTTATAAAAATTTTAATTAAATCAAACTATACACTTATATATATATATWTATATTTAAATTACAGTAAATATTATTACATTATAAAAATAATTATTTTTATTTATGTTAGTACAATATATTACGATTATTCAAATTTAATTTGATTTAATTATTAGTTTTAATTTTTATAGTATTAAAATTGTATKATTTTTTATGTATTAATATATTATTATTAAATATTTATAAATATATATATATATAWAAATGATTTTAAAATACAAAAAAATATATATAATTAATTTTATTTTTACTYTAAAAAATTGTCTATATTTTTATTATTATTATTTATATTGCTATTAATTAAATTATTAYTATTACTATTAGCTAACTGTGCTCTCAGTATATTATTCAATGTATGTGTCATATTGTTCAATATGGTATCCAATCGGTCAAAACGGTTATCAATTTCCCGATACAACAACAACAACTCAGGGCAGTCATCGTTGGACTTTACTATCGGCGGCGGCGATGACGATGGTTTCATCCATCTGTCGATGGCCATCAATCGCTGACTGATACACTTTACCCGTACCATCAGCTCCTGATGGCCGCTCGAGTACTGTTCCAGTACGTCCTTGACGTCGTACGGTTTGCGGGCATTGGCAAACTGCCGACGGGCTACCAGATACTGGACACGTACAATGAATTCAATGGCCGTACGCTCGGCAGCCGTCTTCAACTGTCGCTGTTGTTGTTGTTGTTGTCGGTGATGACCATTATGTTTGTTGTAGAGATCCGGCGATAGCCGACACCAATTGGTGTAGTAGTCCTTGTCGTAGGCGTTGTTGTCCTTATCGTCGACATCATTGCCGACAACATTGATGACGACCACAACATTCGTGCCATTAATAGCTGACAGATATCGTTGATAGTTATGACATCTCCACAGTGTTTGAATAAGTTTTGCACTAATTATATGGGATTATAGGTTATTGACAGACAGATAGACAGATAGACAGATAGACAGATAGACAGATAGACAGATAGACAGATAGACAGATAGACAGATAGACAGATAGACAGATAGACAGATAGACAGATAGACAGATAGACAGATAGACAGATAGACAGATAGACAGATAGACAGATAGACAGATAGACAGATAGACAGATAGACAGATAGACAGATAGACAGATAGACAGATAGACAGATAGACAGATAGACAGATAGACAGATAGACAGATAGACAGATAGACAGATAGACAGATAGACAGATAGACAGATAGACAGATAGACAGATAGACAGATAGACAGATAGACAGATAGACAGATAGACAGATAGACAGATAGACAGATAGACAGATAGACAGATAGACAGATAGACAGATAGACAGATAGACAGATAGACAGATAGACAGATAGACAGAAATGCACCGTTAGTTTTCACAAAATCAAACCATCATTAGGACTACTCAACAATACATACGCCGGTATTCGCCGTTTGTTTAGCTGCCGGTGCCGTTGTTCGTCCTCTATCTTCAGTGCCAATCCGGTGCCCAATATGCCGGCCGGTAAGGCAAATATGGATACACCTATTATCGAGCAAACGGCGGCCAATACTCTACCAATCGGTGTTACCGGATATATGTCGCCATAGCCTAAACAATATATAGATATAGATATTATGTGTTAGTTTAGGGGGTGTGAGTGGTGGACGGGTAGGTGGTGTGTTTGACTCACCTATTGTTGTTAAGCTAATGATGGTATACCATAGGCTCTGTCCCAGATTGTTATACTTAGGGTTGGCCTCCTTTTCCACGTAATATAACAAAAACGATGTGAACAATAGGGCCAGAAATTGTATATAAATTGCTTTTTTTAAAAAAAACATTTTTTTTGTTAAATTTAATTATTAATTAATTTTTTTTTTTTTGAAATAAAAAGTTTTATAATAATAATAATACTATAGTAATAATTATTACTGTATATTAAAGTATCAAACATATGATATATAATATATATATATATAGCTATCAATATTAACTATAAAGTAAAAAAATATAAAAATATAATTTATAAAATTATTTAACTATAATATTTTCATTTAAAAAACATATAATTTTAAATACTATTATAACTTATATAATYATTATTATTATTATTACAATATTATAAATAAATGATTAATAATTTTTTTTACAAAAATAAAATATTATAAAATATTAAATAACTAAAATCTAATGCATAGTTTTAAAAAAATAAAAGTTTTGTTTACTTATATAATATAGTAATTGCTAATTAAATATAGAGTCTCTAATAATAATAATAAGTAATAATAATAATAAGTAATAATAATAATAAGTAATAATAATAATAAGTAATAATAATAATAAGTAATAATAATAATAAGTAATAATAATAATAAGTAATAATAATAATAAGTAATAATAATAATAAGTAATAATAATAATAAGTAATAATAATAATAAGTAATAATAATAATAAGTAATAATAATAATAAGTAATAATTATAATAAGTAATAATAATAATAATAAGTAATAATAATAATAATTAGTAATAATAATAATAATAAGTAATAATAATAATAATAATAATAATAATAAGTAATAATAATAATAATAATAATAATAATAATAATAAGTAATAATAATAATAATAATAATAATAATAATATAATAATAATAATATATTTTTGATATTATGTTTTCAATCACTACTAACTTATATACAACTGTTTTCTCTGAGCCGACATTACCGACGCCAATACAGTCCAGGGTTTGATACGGCGCTGTAGTCTGAATGTCATACCAATGGTAATCAGCGAATGAAAGAATCGGATACTACTTAACCACGATTTACTACTACGACAAGTAGTAGTATCAACTGAGTACAAGACAATCATCGCCAGTGTAGTGACAATGATGACAGTGTCGATCAAACGAAACGGATTCATYAGRAATCGTAGCCGACCTGTCCAGTGACGATAACGGGACACACACTGGGATGACCATAGTCTTAGGGTAAACTCCGTGACATAGATAACAGTTATGGTTATGTCGACGGCCAACAACAGTGTCTCGTTTGATGATATAGGCAGCTCTTTTTGGTGTGATGTCGGGGGGGGGGGTGGGAGAGGTCACAGTCGGTAAAAATAAAATAAACAAATAAAACGGGTATTACTAACACTGTATATATATATATATATATGTGTGTGTGTGTGTGTGTGTGTGTGTGTGTGTGTGTGTGTGTGTGTGTGTGTGTGTATGTGTGTGTATGTATATATATATGTGTGTTTATGTGTGTGTTATTTTGTGTTTGTGTGTGTACATGTGTGTGTGTATGTGTGTTTGTGTGTGTATATGTTGTACAGTATGTATGAGTGGAWCAACAACAGCAACAATGACAACAATACCTACCATCATAAGTGGACACTACGGTCAACGATAGACAGGCAACTATAAGGACAAGTATACAAAAATGATAGACCTGACCGAGTCGGCCGGCCGGCCGCTCAAGAAACTTATAGACGGCTTTCTTGTGCYTATAGTTTCTGATACTAGTATACGATGTGGAAAACTTGCGGTCCGTTGTTTGGCCACCGCCACCACCACCGCCATTGCCGCCGACACCGACTCCCAACAGTCCTTTATTACGCAAATGTATGTAATTATTGTASGCTTCGGTCACCGACTCTATCGTTACAGCCGACCGGCGTCGGCGGCTACTCATAGCTGGCCACACAATCGGAGCGAAAAAACTTTTATTACTTTTATTACTATTATTATATAATTATTTATTTTGTAAAATAAATTGTTTTTTTCACATTATTTTTTTTTTGTTACTAATAATCTACTAATAATTATTGTCAAAAAAAATCAAATATTATCTAAAGGGTTGTAAATTATATGTTATTTATATATATTTTTTGAAATATTTTAATGCAATTAATCTATAGATTCACAATAGTTTTGTGTTATATATTTAACTATATATATATATATATATATATATATAATATTAATACAGGTATTTGTTTATTAATTAGACGATTAAATATAGTATTGAAAATATTTTTAAAAATATTTTTATTGATAATACAATAGATATCTAATRTGTTGTAAATCATTTACTTATAGTATTTTATTTATATACTTATATTATTATTGATAGTAATTGTAATGTACACTGAATTAAACTAATTTATATATCAATATATATATATATATATATATATATGGTATATATTAGAAATATATATATATATAATTTAAATTAATATATATATATAACTAATCAAAGTTTTACATTTATCATGTCATGAATGAAATTTTTTTTATATATAATAATAAAAAAAATCATTTTTAACTAACAATTACAATACTGTAGTATTCAATTACTATTATAAATAGATTTTATTTTTATTTTTTTAACAATTTTAAGTAAAAAAATTAATTCAATTACTTTTTTTTAAAAAAAAAACTATACTGTAATATAATATTTAGTTATGAGTTGTCAATTTATGAAAACCATATTTTATTTAAATAATTATTATAACCTTTAATTATTATTAATTTATATTTTCTACTATTATAATAACTATATCTAAATCTAACAAACAATGTAACAAAAAAATAAATAAACTATAATTAAGATAATTAATTATTTTATCAAAAAAAAWWTAGATTAAATAACTAGAATTATTGTTTTAATATTTGATTTTTTTTTGAAATTAATAAAAATGTTTAATTAATTAGATAATTAGCCATTTTAAAAAAATCAATTAATATTATTTGCTAACTATTAACATAATATAATATATTTTTTTATAATTTAAAAAAATATGTTTTAAAACTTAAAACATTTGCTGTTTTTTAAACGTTTGAAATCAATATAAAAATCATATTTAATGACGTCTTTACTACTTATTTTTTTTAAATAAATATTTAATTAATTTTCAATAAATATGATTAAAAAAACTCAGCAAAAAAATCATATTTAATATTAATTAGTTTTGTATAACATAAGGAAGCGGTAGCTTAAAAATATTTTTTATTGAATTAAACAATAAAAAAAAATGTCTAAATTTAATATATTTTGTATAACTATTGTCACATTAATTGGTAATATAAACAATACATACCTATTATTATTATTATTATTATTATATGCTTTTTATAAATAAATAATTTATTAATAATTTTGTCTATAATTTGAGATTATTTTATAATAAAATAAATCTATACTATATTTTCATAATTAATTAATTTTTAATTAACTTTTTATATATATATATTAATTTAAAAAAATTTAATTATCTTTTTTTATTAGTGATTACTACCGAAATTGATTGTCTGACCACTAATCCGACGGCCAGACAGCTAAAAGATGCCATCAAAGTATTGGACAATTTTCTCAGTTATCTTGAAAATAAAATAGCATTGAAATCGCGTAACAGGGCTCAGGTCGGTAGTGATGGTAGTAGTAGTAGTAGTAATAGTAGACCGGATCCGCCACAACCAGCTAAAAATGATGACTCAGTTTTGGCTGGAAAGGATGCACTGCCTAACGTTCCCCGTACAGCTAATGTTGAACAACCGCCAACAGTTAATGGACAGCCAGCGCCGGCAGTTAATAAATCATGCAATCCAAGAACTAGCCCTAACAATGGTGGACAGGGAGCTGCTGCTGTTCCTCCTCCACCACAACCACAACCATCAGCAAGCTTCCTACTCGGTAGAGGTGGTGGTAATCCATTAGCTAGCAATAGCAATGCTGGACCATTGGGTGGCGGACCATTATCTGGCATTGGCAGTTTAGCACCAGTACCAGCAATATTTAGTGCTGGACCAGCACTATTAAGTGGTGGACAAGTAGCTAGCAATGGCAATGCACCAGCAGCAGCAGCTGGTGCATTAAGTGGTGGACAAGCAGCTAGCAATGGCAATGCACCACCACCACCAGCAGCAGCAGCAGCACCATTAAGTGGTGGACAAGCAGCTAGCAATGGCAATGCACCACCACCAGCAGCAGCACCATTAAGTGGTGAACAAGTAGCTGGCAATGGCAATGCACCAGCAGCAGCAGCAGCACCATTAAGTGGTGGACAAGCAGCTAGCAATGGCAGTGCACCAGCACCAGTAGCATCATTAGGTGGTGGACAAGTTGTTAGCACTGGTCCAGCAGCAGGACCATTAAGTGATGCACAAGTAGCTAGCAATGGTAATGCACCAGCAGCAGCAGCACCATTAGGTGGTGGACAAGTAGCTAGCAATGCCGGTGCACCATCGGGTGGACAAGTAGCTAGCAATGATGGACAAGTAGCTAAACCAACTTTAAATATTAGTTAGGGTGGATAGGTGTTGGACAGGACAGACCACAGAGGAGTGGTAGTGTGAATGAGGAGGTATAGTCAATCAACCAAACAATTGGTTATTATTTATATTTATATAAATAAATAAATTCCCGTAATTTAATTAATATTTGTCAATAGCTAACTATAACTAATAAAATTATATTATTTTTTTTTAAAAAATAAATAATAATTATGTATTATTATCATTACTGTTGTAACACTAATTTTTTTTTAAAAAAAACTAAAATAAATAATAGATACTTAAAAAAAAAATTATTTTTGTTGGTTTGTCATATTATTCATAGAAATTAATTATATTTCATTAATTACATTAATGGAGTTCATATTAATTAATTAATTAATTAAAAATAATAATAACCAATTTTTATTATAGCTAATAAAAACTTTTTAAAAAGTTATAATGCATTTTTTTTAATTAATATATTTATCAAAGATATAAAAGTGTTTGACACGGTTTTTTTTGTGACTATAACTTATTTTTAATTATTATATCAAAATATTGTAATTTTCATTTAATACTATATATATAATTTTTATTTCATTAAAAAAAATTAATTTAAAAAATCCTGAAACATTATATCAAATGATTTTTTGTTTCTAATATATTATTGTTTTTTTTTTGCAGAATCTCATAATCGGTTATAATATTTTTTTTTAAAGATATTCAACATCCCTGTCCCCGCATATCCCGGAGCCGTAATATACAAAATATGCTTTAAAAAATACCAAAATACTGTATATATATATATATTATTTAAGCTTTATTATTATTACTTTTTTTAAAAAAAGTTATAGCCACACACAGACACACAAAAAAACCGTGTCAAACATTTTTGTCTCAGATTGTATACTACTATTAAAACAATTTTTTTTTTAAATTTTATTTAATAATTTTATTTGGAAAAATTAAATTTGTATTAATTTATTATTTATTTTTTTTGGTTTCATTATTAAAGTAGTGTAATTAAGTTTTGAGAAAAAAAGTAAATTATTTGTAATAATTGGCAAAAAAAACAATTTTTTTTTGTCTATAATTTTTAAGTCTTTTTGTTAAAATTAAATTACTTTTACATATTTAAGTTAATTGCAAACATAAAGTATCTTAAAATATGGTATTAGATTATTATTATATATATATATATATTATATTTTTTTTAATTAATTTTAATTAATTTTAATAAATTTCCATTTTTTTAAAAAATATATATTAATTAGTATATAGTATAACATCGGGAACGGTAGCTTAAAAAAAATATTTAATTGTATAAAACGACAATAAAAATGTCTAAATTTAATATATTCTGTATAACTATTGTCACATTAATTGGTAATACAAACAATACAATACAATAGAAAACATATATTAATCTATATTTTCATAAATTAAATAAATTTTAATTAAAAAAAATCAATTAATCAAATTAATTATCATTTTATTTGTTTGTTTGTTTGATTTCAGTGATTACCACCGAAATTGCTGGTCTGACCACTAATCCGACGGCCAGACAGCTAAAAGATGCCATCAATGCATTGGAAAATTTTCTTAGTCATATTGACAACAAAAATTCAGTAAAATCCGGTAACACCGGGTCGTCGGCACCGGGCGATGATGGCGATGATGGTGGCAGTAGTAGTAGTAGTAGTAGTAGTGCTGGTGCTGGTGGTGGTGGCTTTAATGGTATACAGGTAGCTGTTGGAGGACCATTGATTGGCTATTTGGGTCAGCAACAACAGTTAGGTGGTCCAATCTTGCTTAACAATAACAATAATAATATAAAAAATATACCTGCCCTATCGCCTAATGGAGCATCGCTTGGACCATTGTTTGGCCCTGTAGTTAAAGCTAGCAGCGGTAGTAGTAGTAGTAGTAGTAGTATTAGAGGTTGGGATGGATCTGGTTTAGGACCATTGACTGGTGAACTTAACAGTAACAACAATAGGGGATTGGCTACTGCTGATGGTGGTGGTGGCTTGAATGGTTTACTTAGAGCTGCTGCTCAATCACCACAGTCAAAGTTTTTAGCCGGTGGTGGACCAGCAATTGCTTTACCAATGATTGCCCAACCGTTTAGATATGAACAATGGTCGTTTGGTCCAAGGTTAGGTAACAATGATTCAATTGGCAAACCAGTACAAGTACCTGCCCTGTCGCCCAATGGAGCATCGCTTGGACACTTGTTTGGATGGCCAGCTAGACATAGCAGCGGTAGTAGTAGTAGTATAGGTTCCGGTGGATCTGGTTTTGGATCACTGACTGGTGAGCCTAACAGTAACAACGTTAGGGGATTGGCTGGTGGTAGTGGTGGTGATGGTGATCGCATTATTAGAGAGACAGGAGGACCAGCATTGATTAGCTATAGAGTTGTAACTAAGCCCAGTGGTCCCAATAGACCAGTGTATGTACAGGCAGTTAAAGATAGCAGCAGCAGTAGTAGTAGTAGTATAGGTTCCGGTGGATCTGGTTTTGGATCACTGACAGGTGAGCCTAACAGTAACAACGTTAGGGGATTGGCTGGTGGTAGTGGTGGTGGTGGTGATCGCATTATTAGAGAGACAGGGGGACCAGTATTGATTAGCTATAGAGTTGTAACTAAGCCCAGTGGTCCCAATAGATCAGTGTTTGTACAGACAGTTAAAGATAGCAGCAGTAGTAGTAGTAGTACAGGTTCAGGTGGATCAGGTATAGGACCATTGACTCATGAGCCTAACAGTAACAACAATAGGGGATTGGCTACTGCTAATGGTGGTGGTGGTGGTGGTCGTCCTGGTGATGATGGATCTGTAAAATTGGTCAGTAGTCCAAGATTACGTAACAATGATATAATTAGACAATTTATGGTCTGCCCAGGTTTCCTATAGTGAACATTTGCCTAACCCGGTTGAAACAGTGTACCGGTATGACCCGGCAGCTGACCCTAACAGTAGAAGCAGTCGTAGTAGTAGTAGTAATGCAGGTTCGGGTGGATCTGGTTTAGGACCATTGACTGGTGAGCTTAACAGTAACAACAATAGGGGATTGGCTGCAGATGCTAATAATGGTGGTGGTGGTCGTCGTCCTGGTGATGGTGGATCTGGACAATTGGTCAGTAGTCCAAAATTACGTAACAATGATATAATTAGACAATTTATGGTCTGCACAGGTTATCCATAGTGAACATTTGCCTAACCCGGTTGTAACAGAGTACCGGTATGACCCGGCAGCTGACCCTAACAGTAGAAGCAGTCGTAGTAGTAGTAGTAATGCAGGTTCGGGTGGATCTGGTTTAGGGCCATTGACTGGTGAGCTTAACAGTAATGACAATCGGGGATTGGCTACTGCTAATGGTGGTGGTGGTGGTCGTGGTCCTGGTGATGATGGTGGTGTTGGTGGTGGCTTTAATGGTTTACAGGGAGGTGCTCTAGGACTAGTAGCTAACAATAACAGACCTTTACCAGTGGCTATCCCTAATTGATAGTACATTTTGTTTTTTATATATATAAAAATATATGAAACAACAGTAACAATACTACTAAAGCTAAAATCTGACCATAAAATTCATATATATATATAATTTATAATTATTTAATTTCAAATTAAACTATATTATTATCATTTTTCTGTTTAATAATAATTATTATTAATTATTATATAAAATATTATTATTTTTAATAAATATTATGTATTGTACTTTACTGTATGTATTATTATTTTGGCGAAAATAAAATAAAAATAACTAAATTTGGACAAAAAATTTTAATAGTAATAATTAATTTAATTTTTTATTTAATTTTTTGTTTTGTTTTATTATAGTTTTAAAATATTATTTATTGAAATTAATTATTATTTAATTTACATTAATGGAGTCCAGTATACAGTATATGTTAATTAAATTTAAAAAAATGTAATTACGTGTATAGTATTTGTAATTAATATATATATATATTTTAAAAGTGATTTGTAATATAAATTTGTTAATATTTTTTTTAAAAAAATCTACAATTAATTTATACGTTATTTTAAAAAAATAATTTTAATTAGTTTTTGTATAATATAGGAGAGCAGTAGTAATAAATATACAGTAATTAGTTGTTAAACAAAACGACATCCAAAAAAAAAAAATGTCTAAATTTAATATATTTTGTATAACTATTATCACATTAATTGGTAATACAATCAACAAAAAAACAATACAAACATATTATATATAAGTTATAAATATATAGATATTTGTTATTTAAAAAAATAGCATTAATTTTGTCAATAATTTAGATATTAAACTATTATTAATTAATTAATTATTATATATATTATTAATTAATTATTATATATATTATTAATTAATTATTTTTTTTGGTTTGTTTCAGTGATTACCGCCGAAATTGATTGTCTGACCACTAATCCGACGGCCAGACAGCTAAAAGATGCCATCAAAGTATTGGACGATTTTCTCATTTATCTTGAAAATAAAATAGCATTGAAATCACGTAACATCGGGTCGTCGGCACCGGGCGATGATAGTGGTAATAGTGCTAGACAACCAGCCTCACCAGCAGCACCTGCTCAACCAATTAGTGTTGGCGGTAATGGACAGCCAGCGCCGGCAGTTAATAAATCATGCAATCCCAGAACTAGCCCTAACAATGGTGGACAGGGAGCTACTGCACCTCCTCCACCACCACCAAGCTTCCTACTCGGTGGTGGCGATGGTCCACTAGCTAGCAATGATAGAATATTGAGTGGAGGACAAGCAGCTAGCAATAACAGTGCTGCTGCTGCTGCTGCTGCTGCACCAGTAGCCAATGTTAGTGTTGCCGGTGATGGACAACCAGGACCGGCAGTTAATAGATCATGCAGTCCGAAAACTAACCCTAACAATGGCTTGAATGGTGGACAGGGAGCTGCTGCTCCACCACCACCACCACCATCAAGCTTCCTACTCAATGGTAGTGGTAGTCCAGTAGCTAGCAATGCTGGACCAGCACCATTAGGTGGTGGACAAGTAGTAGCTAGCAATAACAGTGCTGCTGCTGCAGCATCAGTAGCCAATGTTAGTGTTGGCGGTGATGGACAGCTGGCAGAGCCGGCACTTAATAGATCATGCAGTCCCAAAACTAACCCTAACACTGGCTTGAATGGTGGACAGGGAGCTGCCGCTCCACCACCACCACCACCGTCAAGCTTTTTATTAAATGGACCAGTAGTTGGAGCACCACTGACTGGCCTGTTAGGTAACGCTAGCAGCAGTAGTAGTGGTGGAGGACAAGTAGCTAACGCTAGCAACAGTAGTAGTAGTGGTGGTGGACAAGTAGCTAACTCTAGCAGCAGTGACGGTAGTAGTGGTGGTCGACATATAGCTAACTCAAGCAGCAGTGGCAGTGGTGGACAAGTAGCTAAAGCTAGCAGCAGTAGTGGTCGACATGTAGCTGACCCCAGCGGCAGCGGTAATGGTGGACAAGTAGCTAACGCCAGTGTCAGCGGTAATGGTATTAGTGGCGGACAAGTAGCCAACTTAACCATCAGTGGTGGTGCTCAAGTAGCTAACGCTAGCGTCAGTAGTGTAGGTGCTGGTGCTGGTAGTGGTAGTGTCCCGGTAGCCAACAATGGTGGATTGGTGGGAGGCGCCCTCTAAACAACAACAAAAAACACAGTAACAATCCCTACCCCTAACCCCCATCCCAATGGGTTATTAATATAAAATTTTATTTATTTTTTTTTAAATAATATTTGTCTAAAACTAACTAAATTTATATTATATTTTTGTTTAGAAATAATTATAATATTATGTATTATTATTATTAGTAGTAGTATTATTACTGTGACACTAAAATTAATTAATTAATTAATTAAAATAAATGATTAATTAAATGAATTTAATTTTATTTAATTTTATTATTTTCTCTTTTATTAATCATTATAATTATTTCTAAATTTTTAATTTTTTAGTAATTCAATCAATCATATGTTAATTTTTAAAAAAATAAAATATAATAATTAATAAGCAATTATTGAAGATTTAATGTTATTATGTTTTATTAGTACTTAATATATATATATATATATATATATTTTAAAAGCTAAGTTATTTTTATTAAAAGTTAATATATATATATATATATATATATTGTATTAATATATTAGATTATTATAAAAAAAGATTTAATAATAATTATTAAAATATTATTTTATTTGTAATTAAAATTAAAATTTAAATCTAATGATATCTTATTTTTTTAAAAATATAATCATTTTTCTTATTAATTTTTGATTTTATAATTAAATATTAAGTTATAATAATTTAGTATAATTTATAATTACTGTATGATTTTTTGAATTAATTAATTAACATGTTTTAACAATTTAACATTTTTTTAATTAATTTTATTATCGTTTAATCTTATTATTAATATATATATTTTTTAAAAACATCCAAGGTCAATTTTTTAATAATTAAAAACTCAAGGAAGTCATCATCTTTTAGTTATACAAAATGCTAAAATAAATTATACAATTATTATTATTAAAAATTTTATTTGACTTGTAAATAACAGTAGTTTTTTAATGATTTGATTTTCAAAAAAATACTTCAAAATAAAAAAACATAACTTTAGTTGTTATTAACAGCAAACAAAAAATTGATTTTGAATTTATATGAAAAAAATATATTTAAAATTATTATTCAATTTTGTGTTTTATTGGTATTCAAAATAATAATAATAATGCAGAATATTCTTAATGTTTTAATACTAGTATTACTTATTGTATTAATTAATATATCATTGATTATTGTCGCACAACAACAACAACATTCAATAAGAGGTAAGTTATGATTAATTTTTTTATGCCAATCATTAATATCATTAATACCTGTGCTTAACGTAACATAACAAACAAAAAACATAACAATTACTAACTAACGAAAAAACAGTAATTTATAGATTGCATACTAATTATAATACAATATAATAATAATAATAATGATTTTCACATAATCTAATAGTAAAACCAAAAATGTTGAGCACCTGTACGTCCAGTCGCTTGGTATGTGCGGCCAACGTAACCCATGAGCCAGTCTATCATTTTAGCCAATTAGACGATCCGGCTGCCCGACCGTATAGCCTAATATGTCGATACAGGGGTCGACTGTATCAGCTGGGCTGGACTATACAACTAGCCGACGATCCCTGTACCCGATGCCAGTGCAACGAACACTGGGACGACCGTAACCCGGATGCCAGTCTGTCGTGTAGTAAAACCGATTGCGAACCCCGACTACAAATCCAATTGAATGCCGGTTGTCTGCCAGTCTATTCGGATGGCCAGTGCTGTCCGGTTGACTACTATTGCCGTAAGTGTGTGTGCACTGAATCTGTATATATATCAGGGTTGTTAAAGGTTTTCGATTTCAAGGGGGGGTATAGGAGGTGGTGAACATTTATTTTATTTATTCATTTTTAAACAAAAATTTTTGCTAAATTTGAGTAAATTCCCAATAACTTCCTACTAAATTCCTACTAAATTCCTACTAAATTCCCACTAAATTCCCACTAAATTCTCACTAAATTTCCACTAAATTTCCACTAAATTCCCACTAATTCTCATTAAATTCCCAATAAAAATCCCCTCTTTAGAAAACCTGGTATATATATATATATATATATATATATATATATATATATATTATTTCACAGCACAGGTATGTAACCAATATTATTTTTTTGTTAAATGTTTTTTTTATTTTTTGTGTTGTAGGCCAACAATGTGTGTTCAATGGCACCCGTTATCGATTGGGTAGCAAACTATACCTGAAATCACCGGCGGTGCCAGTGGCCAGTGATGATGATGATGGCCAACAACACCAACAACAATATCAGTGCGATGAGTGCGAGTGTCGGTCGGCGCCGACATTTACCTGTCGTCAGCGACTCTGTACTACCGATATTAGCGACAAACTTATTCAACTAACAAATTAATTAATTAATTTTATTTTTTTTTGTAAAAATTGTTATTAAATGACATAATTTTTTTTATACTGAATTAGTTTAACTTTTAAAAAGTCATACATAAAAAATATCAATTAATAATATCAATGTAAAGTATATACTATGATATATATAAGGATACAAATAATAGATTAGAAATAATTTTCAAGTTTTATTTTTTTATAAATAAAAATTAAAGATACAGGGTATTTTATTTTTGTTTGTTTGTATACAACATGTGATTTATATCTATTATTATTGATAAAATTATATTACTTTGCTGTCAACCTAGTAATGTAGTAATTGATTTATATTAATAATTAAATTATATTAATATAGTTTTTTTAAATAAAATAAATAAATAAAAATAAATAATTGTAATCTTACCTTATTTATGTTGACTTGTTTTATAGATATTAAAGTTATTAACATATATATATATAATTGTATTTTTAATTATTTTGTTATAATTGTTTTATTCGCCAATATTTTAGTAAAATATTGAAAATTACAAAAAATATGTTATTTATTTATGTATTCAATTTATTTAATAGTTTAATACTAAAATTTTAATTTTAATAGTTAAATTTACTAATTGTTTTAATTTAAAACAAATGTAAATAAAGATTTTGAATTTTTGACTAAATTATTGATTAATTTATTATTTTATAACTATCTGTTTATAAATTATGCCTGGTAGAAAATCTATAATAATAATAATAATAAATATTCAATATTAGATTAGTAAAGTATTTTATAGATATTTTATTTTATGAGTTATAATATATATATATTTAAATACATAAATAATATTGTTTTGACAACAAACTTGACAACAGTTTAAAACATAATAATTATTATAATAATTTTTATTATAATTGTTATTAATATTAATTTAACAACAAAATAATTTTTTTTACTATAAAACTACAATAGAAAATAAAGTGTTATAATATATTAATATTATTTTGTAAGTTTATATTTTAGTTATTTTTAAAAAAATTAGTTTAATAGTATATAATATTATATTAATTATAATTATAAATATTTTTAGTCTAGTTATAATAGAAAAATATTTAGATTAATATTAATACAATATTATATACTATTAAACTATTTTTTTAAAAATAACTATATATTTAAAAATATTATATATATATTAAATTCTAGTAATATTATATATTATATTTTTGTGATGTTTATATTATTATTATTATTTAATTTAATTTTTTTACTATACTTAAAAAGGGGTGTTATTTCTATTTTGTGATATTATTATACATCATATAAAGAGAGAGAGAGAGAGAGAGAGAGAGAGAGAGAGAGAGRGAACTGTAGTTCCCCCTACACAATGTAGGCTAATATACTACAGTATTGCACCGGTATCTAGAAATACTACTACTACTACTAAACAATCATAAATACAATAATATTAATACATCAATAGTATATTGTATTTTTTAAAAATATTTTAAATGATAAAGTTATATAATATACAATATATTATGTTTCATACAAATACAGTCTCCATATACTGTATATATATATATTACTTTATAAAGTAATATAATAATAATATCATATATGAATCATATATAATATGATATACTGTATGAAAAAATAGTAATAATTTTCTAATTCAATAGTACTGTATGTGTGTTTGCCAATCATTAATAGACATATATATATAAAATAATTAAATAAAAATATTTTAGTTGCAATAGTTTTTTTTATTTAAACAAAAAATATTTTGCAACCTAATTATACATTATATGGTATAATTTATATTGTTTGTTTTGTCAACTCATTGACTATTAACTAGTATTAACTATTATAGTATAATATACTACTGTATATTTGCTTTTAAAAAACAACAAGGTAAACTTTTTTTTAAAAAAAAACTATTAATTTTTATGTGTCTAGATAATCTGTATTTTTTTTGCTTGATCATTTATGATGATAATTTTGTATTAGAAATTACTAACTATTCAAAAAAAATTTATATTACATTAATTAATATTTAATTACCGGTAACTATTTTTTTTACTTGATTTACATTTTACTATTAGTTTATTTATATTATTATTAATATTTTTGTTTAAAATTTTAGTATTTTTAAAAAAATTAGTTTATAAGTAATTTTGAAATATTACACTCATTTTTTTATTATTTGAATATTATATTTATTTTCAAATATATATATATATATAATACTGTATATATTAATACTGTATAATTTGATAGTCTATTGCTGCTAACTATTGGCAATCAATGATATTATTTCTATTATTATTATTTTAATATAATATTAAACTAAATGAAAGTTAATGTTTTATTTAGTAAATAATAATATATGATATGAAACAAAAGTGTTTAATTTATTTCAATACTGATATTCAATTGAATTATTAAAATATATTATGAAATAGCATAACCTGAAAATTTTTATTATTATTAATTTATTTATTGTTTTAATTAGACTATTATTTAAAAAAAAATAACAAAACAATATATCATTTATATATTAAAATATCTATATTTATATTAAAACTGCTGAATAAATATTACTAAATATTTTTTTTGCTAATTTATACAGTATTTTATTAGTTATTGTTTTGTTTTTTTTTCAGTACTAATATTGTTTAGTAGTATCTGATTGATTGAATAAATTATTTTTTTAATATTTTATTTTATTTTCATTTARCAAACTGTTGCTGACTAGTCATCGTCATCATAGCCTACCTGTGCTCTCACTTACAAATAGATAGTCAAATAGTTGTTGGGTTTTTCACCGTAAAGGTATGTATGTGTCTATTGTTAGTATAATATAATTATTATTATTTTTTGTATTATTATTAGTATAATTATATTATTATATCTACAATTTTTTGTTGTAGTTATAAATAATATTTTTTATATAATAAAAAATTAGTTTACATTTTAACTTGTTTTAGGATTTTTTTCTAAAATTAAAAAAACATAGTATTTACTAAAAATAAATCAGTAATAATAATAAAATTTAATTATTTTATATTTGTGTATATTTTATATATTACAATAGTATTATTGACAAAATATAATAAATTATAGTTGCCGTACAATTTGCTAATAATTTTTATTTAATATTTAATTTTATTTTCAACAAAAAAATTTCATGTTTATTGTTTTATGACTTTTAAACCCCATATACTATTCAATATATATATATATAAATATATATATATTATTTAAGATTAGATAAGTGTATGAATTATTATTTGCTAGAAAATTGAAATAATTATTATCTTTATTATTGAAAGTATATCATTAATAATAAATAGTTTGTATAGTATTATTAAGTGTCTTAATATATATATATATATATATATATATAATCAGTAAAAAACATTTGATGAGATACAGTATTCAATAAAGTGATACACAAACAAAAAACACAACAAACTGTAAGTTATTTTGATTGAAATTTGATTAAAATAAAAAAAATTATATAATATTATTAGTTTTTAAAAAAATTACACGTTGTCTTATTTTTTTAGGTAATAATAATTTGTTTTTTAAATTTAACTATTATATAATTTTAATTATTATAAAATAGTAATAACAACAATAACAACAAAACATATTTGATATTATTTTATATACCGCGGTATATATGGTATTAATAGTTTACCTTAAATAGCATTTTAATTATGATTATTTAAATATAATTATATATATTGAATATATTTAAACTAGGTTATATTATTATATATATATATATATTAGTAAAAATTAAAATTATCAATGACATTTTCACTATTTATATAGCTTGATTGAATTTTAAGTTTACAAATGTCCTAAATTTTTTTTTATTTCATTGCAATAGTTAGTTGCAATAATTAATATGTTGTTTATATTTAATTTTACTTATAGTTTTCAACTGTAAATACAAATGTATAAACAAATTTTGTATTTATTTATTTTTGCTATGAATCAGACAATTTTTTATTAATATATATATATATATATATATATATATATAAAATTAAATATGTTTGATGATAACTGAAATAATTTGTACAGTAGTTTAATAATTAAAAATATAGAAATATATTTCACTATTTTTTAATTTTATTGCAAATACTGTACTAATATATATATAATGTTTTAAAATAAAACATTTCAGATAACTAATTGTCTAGTTTTTAAAAAAAACTGATAGTGACTGTAGTTTTAATTAATTAATTTGAAATTAATTGTTTTTAACTAAACATTGATTACTATTATATGTAATTATTTTTTTTGCTAATTATTGTCTATAAATTAATTGCAATTTTATTAATTATTATTTATTTATTTTTTAAAAATAATTATTTAGTTTTCCAGTATTTAACACACAAAACAATGGCACATACCTATCATCGTATGTATTATTATTATTTAATTAATTATGTAATTAATTACTATATATATATATATATATATATATTTGTTTTTATAGTTAACTATTAAAACTAATAATAATATTTTTTCCATAATTTAAACTAATTTCAATAATAATAATAAGTTAACTATTTATATAACAACTAATAATACTATTGAATACATATACACACCCATCCATCCATAGAAACCAGTTATAAGGCACCGGGAGTCTGGCAACAAGGCTACAGTGGTCAGGTACCGCACGGCGGACCCGTATTGGGCGGTAACGATGTCAATGGCGAGTCCTTATACGTCGGTCGGGCCATCGAATCGGGCGACTGTATACCCGGCAAAGTAGTCCCGTCGCACGGCTGCTGTTACGTAGCATTTGCCGGCCAAGAACACTCCCACCGGGACTACCAGGTACTGACCAATCCGCACGGTGCCAGCCTGGTATGGGTACCCGCTGCTAACGGCGAAGTACCTCTCGGGGCCATCCAAGGTGGCCAACAAAGCGACGGCGAACGGCTATACATTGGCCGGGCCTATCACGAAGGATCGATGGTTATCGGCAAAGTTCACCCGAATCATCGGACACTGTATGTATCGTTTGGCGGCAATGAGGTGGCCATACATCACTACGAGTGTCTGGTATGCCGTGAGATCAACCATTAATTAACTGATCCAACCGACCGTCGGACCGATCGATTCAATAGACCCTAAAAAATAGTTATCCGATAATAAAAAAAATTATTTGTTATTTTAAATAATTGTTTTTTTGTTGCTTTTTTATTATTAAATTGAAACTAAATTTTTATATTAAGATCAAAATTTGTTGTTTATAATTATTACTTATATTATAAGTGTATTAATTATTATAACTAATGTTTTAATTATTATATAATACTTTTTATTGAATTGAATCGCAATTTTTTTTGATTTTCATTTATTAACTATTATAAAATATATATATAATTATCAATAAATATGATTTCAATATATTTATTTTTAACTTAATTAAATAATTTATTTTTTATTATTATTATTATTAACTATAAAATTTATCTCAATATACAGTATTTATTGTTAATATTTTGATAGTAAAAAAATGATATTAATTTTTTTTGTTAAAAAATAAATAATATTATAAATAAGAAATATTTTTTAAAAATTATTTTATTATTAATATAATTAAATTATAATATAACTATTGACTTATTTTTTTAATTGTAATTATAATTTCACCTAGGATAATCTCCAATAGGGACAATAGATTATTGTTATGGTAGATATACAGTACTAACAATTATTGTTTAATATTTAAAATATATATATCATATATTAATAGATTTGAATTATATATATATATATATAATATTGATATCAATTTTACATTGAATTTAGAAAAATAATATTTAAAAATGATTCATAATTTCATAATAATTATTATTTTAAATATCAAATCAAATTTTTTATTTCAAATTTTAATAGTACTTATACTAATGATAATAATATTATTATTAATAATATTGTTAGTGTAAATATGTTTACATTATTTTTTTATAATAAAAAAAATTAAATATCAAATATGTTTTTATTAGCAATTCATTTGCATTTATTCATTGAATTTTTTTATTAGTAATTAGTAAACTAAAGCAACAAAAAAAATCCAATTCAATTGAATTCAATATTTGTTTAACTAATTGATATAAAATTAAACTATAAATAATATATTATTCAAAATAAAAATTTGTTAGAATTTTTTGTAAATATTTTTATATCTATATATATATATATTTATCTCATTTTAGTTGATGAATACCTATTAAATTAATAAACAAATAAATAAACTTGAAAAATAATAATAAATTAGATAAAAAAATAATTATAAATAAACATTTAGACTGAAAATAAAAAAATTATTTATAATATATTTTTATAATAATATTATACTGTATTAATTAATTATATTATTAATTAATTAATTAACAATAAAAAAATGTACAGTTTAGTTTATAAGCAATTAGTAATGTATTACTAAAAAAAAAAAATTCAATAAAAAATTCAATCATACTGTATTACAGTGCAAAAATTAATTATTATAATATAATTATTATTACTATTATTATTATAATATTATTGTGCAACAATATATATATGATATATTAAACTAAATTGTAATAAATAAAAAAATTATTTCAGCAATGTTAATGCAACAACAAAAAATTACTACAATAATATTTGAGAAAATGTTACCATGGGGAATTTTTTTCTAAATAATTATTTTTATCTATATATTTAATTGATAATATAATAATATACACTGTATATAAATTTTATATATAAGGTTACTTAGAATTAGTGAAATTTTTGAATAACTATATTACATAATATATATATATATATATCACTCTGGTATCTATGTGACCACCCCCTCCCTCCCCTACATACATATATGTGACACTTATATTTCCAGGGGACAAGTAGATAGTATGATACTATTTCTCTAACGTTTCCTAATAGGAAACAAAATATATATATATATAACTTATTTTTTATTGTTGATTAGCGATATCAAAAATCTAACCGGTAAATTTTTCTTTATCATAAACAAAATAAAAAAATTTCCCAGTAACTTTACTATAGATTATTTTTTAAATACACACACACATACATACATACACACAAACACACACACACATATATATACACATACACATACACATACACATACACATACACATACACATACACATACACATACACATACACATACACATACACATACACATACACATACACATACACATACACATACACATACACATACACATACACATACACATACACATACACATACACATACACATACACATACACATACACATACACATACACACATAAATATACACACATAGTATTAACCAATCAATAAATAGTTAGAGATAAACATATTTTGATTATTTCACTATTGAATTGAAATATAAATTTATATATTAATAGTTTAATTAATAAATAATAAAATTTAGTGATTAGTTAGCAAAATTGATAGGTAGGCCGTCCCACACTCATATACAGACTACCAGTGCACTGGCACATAACTACCATCACCCTATGCCACCACCACCACCATCACCACAATAATCAGTACAATTACAGTACCGGTAATCTAGTGATACTTTATAATATATAGGGAATTACATATTATCTTAAACCTACTACACCTACCTACCATCCCTAATCTATACTAGACATCCCAGACACACACTCACTCACTCACGATCACACCTACCTACCGACCTACGTGTCCTTTTTTTCCTGTCAACCAAAAAAAGTATATAATAAAGTGTGAGAGCACCGTTAGCTCAAACAAACAGTGTTCCTGTACTACCTGTTCCCTGTCTATCACAACCACTACTACATCAATCAATAATAATGGGCGAATGGCATCCGTACTCTGGCGGCAACGTACCCGGCAATGCAGTGGCCGGCGGTAACGATACCAATGGTGAAACCATATTTGTCGGCCGTGCACACGAATCGGGCGATTTGATACCCGGTAAAATCGTACCGTCCCATGGTGTATGCTATGTACCCTATGATGGCCAGGAACGGGCACATCGAACCTACGAATATCTGGTCGCACCGAGCTACGGTTCGCTGGTATGGCGATCGGCCGGTAACGGTGGTATACCATCGGGTGCCGTACACGGTGGCCGTATGTCATCGGGTGAACCCCTATTCATTGGCCGGGCCTATCACGAAGGTTCGTGGGTTATCGGCAAAGTACAGCAAAGTCATCAGGTTCTGTATGTACCCTATGGTGGCAACGAAATAGCCATTCATAGCTATGAAGTACTGGTTGAACAGTACTAAGAAACATAACCTACCGGTGCTGCTCTACCGATAAACATGTAGTCAACAACAAAAAAATTGTTGTTTTTTTATATTAATTATAATAATCATTATTTTTTTTGTTTGAATTAATTATTTGTTGATAAATTAAGCGCTTATTTTTAAAAATATTTTGTTTTTGTTTGTTATATATACTTAAAAAAAAAAAAAAAAAATTAGTAAAATTATGTTTTTTTTGCTAATGACATAAAATTTTCAACAAAAAAAAAGTTTATAATAATTAAATAAATTTTTTGTTTGTTGTTAATAACTAAACAAATTTTTATTTTGAATAAAATTATACTAATTTTTTTTTTAAATTTTCAAGTAAATTGTTTTTTAATAATTTTTGTTTGTTTAATAATGTATTATAAAAAATAATATTAAATTATTATATTTAAAGTGACGTGTCCTAGGTAATATTATTGTTTTAATATATAGTGGCAGTTTGATAAACCGGCAAAAAATTAATAATAATTATAATTTATCATCCAATATAATCTCATTAAATAAACAGTATATATATACAGTATAGCTTATTAAACAAAAATATGATAAGCCATAAACTTTAATATTTACTTAATCTCAGGTATATATTGATCAGGTATAATTATACTATATTTTAACCATGGTAACTAATTGATAAGTAAAAAAATATTATAAATCAATTTTTGTATTTTTTCTGTGAAATACTATTTATGATAATAATATATTTAAAAAAACACTTAACAATTGTATGCTTTAATACCTATGCTGTCATAGTTTTTGGCGTAAAATATCAAATTGATAACAATTAACCGGTACCGGTAACTGTCACACTGTTATTAACATATTATCTATATATATATATATWTTTTACTTTTCAGGGACAGTTAGATTATGCCAAACACACACACACACACACAAAATAAAAACCGGTAGATAATAACATATCAATCAATAACAACAACAAAAAATATATGTAATAAACAATAAAATCTATTATAAGTTATAAATTTGATATTTAATAAAAATAAATAGATTTAATAAATTATTTATCAGTTTTTTTCTGCATCTAAACGGTTGTTACTATTTGATGACAATGACAGTAGAGATAATGCTATGAATGAATGAATGGCTGAATCAATTGGTAGTATCGGCACCACCGCCGCCGCCGCCGGTGCTAATATTGGCCACAATTTTGTCAAACATTTGCTTAATATGTGTTGTTTTGCTGGCGGCGCCGCCGCGTCCTCTGTTTCGCTTACGTTTACGTAATCTACTATCTGTACTACCGGTACCTCCGTCACCACCACCAGCGCTACCACTACTCCCGGCTCCCGATGTTTTCGTTGTTGTTGTTGTCGTCGGCTTTGTCTTCGGTTTCTTACACGACAACGGATTCGGACCTTTGGGTCCTTTGCGTCGCTTTTTCGGTTGATTATCGCCTACGGAATCGTCAGCTAAACCGTGTATTTCTTTCAATTTGCTCAGCACTTGGACATCGTGTTCGGCTAACTGATCGCTGGCGTCCACTCCGCGCCGATGCGCCTCCTCTTTGACCGAATCGACCGGTTTGGTCATTACAATGACGTTGCCGTTCAAATAGATTAGCGGACACACGACCGAACGGCGTACCGATCGAGTCAGTTGGAGATCCTGTGTGGCCAGCATATAGTGATCGGGATTGTTGTTACCCGAACCGCAAATCAATTCGCGAATACAATCGTTGGCCGCAATCGGCGACTTTTCGTGACCGCATCGATGAATCGGAAACTGTTTGATAACAAGCAAAGCGCCGTACAGTGACTGACCTGAATAGTGATAGACAGTGAGAGAGAGAGAGAGAGAGATTAGTATTAGTAATAGTAGTAAATCGGTAACCGTCGGCCCGATGGCCACTACTAAACTTACTTAGCCGTTGTGTTTCCTGAACAACGCATACGGTGGTCACCAATTTGATCTCGTGTTTACCAAAATATTTGGTCATCTGTTCCCTGATGTTGATCTTACTTTTCAGACACGACTGGGCAAACGTAGCGTCGATGACCACTTGAAACGGCGGCCGATAGCCGAATGAATTCATATAAAACTGTAGATATTTGTTGACCCGTTTGTATCGTTTGACTTTCATGACGATTGACCACTACTATTGCCGACGGGAGGAACACAAAACTGATTGATTGGATAGTAGTGGTGGTCACTGGACAGGTTGGCCACTAATTTACCGATTGATTGGTGTGTTTGTAATGCTATCGCAAATATCACGTGTTGTTTGACTACTTGTATATCAAAAACATTGTAAAACATGTTTTTAAAACAGTTATAATATAAAATAGTACTTAAATTTCAAGTTAAATATATATAACAATTTAGGCCATTTTTATATTATTAGCAAAAAAAACTAAAAACTTGTTATTTTATATATAATACATGCAATAAATTAATATATAATATTTAATATTAAATTAAAAACAACATAAACAACGTTAGGATTTTTTTTTGAAAATAAAATTATATGTTAATAAAAATATTAATAGATTAATATAATATCTGTATATTATCTAATAATATATATATATATATATATATATAGTTAATAAAAAACAAAATTATATGAAAATAAATTTTAAACTTTTATTTATTTTTTTAGTTAATAATTTTTATATTTTATTTTCCATCCATCCATAGCATGTTAGGTGAAAACAATTTAATATATATTTAAATTTATTTAATTATCATAATATTACCAATAAAATGTACTGAAAAAAATAAATAAATAATTAGTTTTCATAACTAAAAAAAAATTACAATTAATATGAATTACAATAAATATTTAATAATATAATTAAAAATATATTATTAATAATAATATTATAACATTTAGCTAATTAATCAATTTACTATAACAATTATCTATCTAAAATAATATTCTAGATGTTATAAATTAAATATATATGTTAAATATTACAATTACAACAATAGTTATTAACAATAAAAAAAACTAATATAAACTATATATTTATAAAAATAAATATTTTAGTTAATTTGCTGATTAATATTATATGTATAAAAAAATTATGTCTGACATATAAAAAAATTTTTTTTTAAATTTCAAATTATTGTAATTAAATATCCGATCAAATAAAATATGAAATAAAATTATTTTATTATGACATATAACTAATTAATCAATTAATTAATAATAATTAATATTATTAATAATATAAATAAGAGTTAATCATAAATAATTCAAAATTTTAATAATTATTTTATAATTAATGTGTTATATAATAATTTTACTATGTATCTGTATTAATTTTATTGTTATTAATTAAATAAAATATTAATTATTAATTAATTATTAATTATTTATAATAAACTATTTATTTTATTGGTAATATTAATTATTATTAATTAAGTGCTTTTATTAACTCATTATATAAAATATTAATAAAGCTCATAATACTATTATGTTTTGTAGTTTTAAAATTTTATTACAATTTTTAATTAAAATATTTTTTTAACGTTTCGTAACATTTATTAGTTTAAATATTCAGATAAAATAAATGCAAAATAATAATAATAATTATAATACTTAGTATTAACACATTAAACATAAATACATTTAAACATTAATTAAAATTATTGGCTTTTATTTAATCTTAATAATTTTAATTATATAAAGAAGCGGTCAAATAATCTTAACAAATAAATTTTTTAATAACTTTTAAACGGTTATAGATAATTTAATTCTGTAAAATTCATTTAAGTAGATCATATCGACCTGACGTGATATACACACAAACACAAAACTAGGATGACCAGATATATATAAAATATCAGGACCAACGTAAGATAAGTAAGCAATGTAAGTAATGCTTCAGGTCAAACTACAACTGACAAATCTATTATGACATGCAAAATTTCTAGTCAATAAATAATAATTTAATATAAAAAAAGAATCATCAAAATCGGATTGGTGGTTTTGTTTTTATGACTTGTTAAGTTTGTCAAAAATCAAATTATATAAAATAGTCTAAAATAAAAATGAAGTTATTTATGAATATTATATATTTCTTAGATAAACTTTTCAATTATATATCTTATTCTAAAAAATAAATTTTAATATGTCAATTAGTTTTTGAAATAATCGAATTTCAATATAAATGACTATTATAATTTTATATTATAATTAATATTTAAATTCGATTATTTCGAAAACTAGTCAACGTATTAAAATTTCGTTTCTAGAATTAGTAATATATTTGAAAATATCATCTAATAAATATATAATATTTATAAATAACGTCATTTTTATTTTAGATTATTTAATATAATATGATTTATGACAAACTTAACAATATAAAAAAAATGTTGATTCTTTTTTTTATATTAAACTATTATTTCTTGACTACAAATTTTCATTGTCATAATATATCAGTTCTGATTTGACCTGTAGTATAGTGTCTTACGTTGGTCCCGATATTTTGTATATCCTAGTCATCCTAGTTTTGCTATTGTGTTTATATTTAGTGTGGTCGATATGATATTCATAAATGTATTTTACAAAATTATCTCTAACCAATTAAAAGTTATTCAAAAATTACGTGGCGCAAGATCATTTGACCGGCTCTTTATACATATATAAGTACCGCAAAAAATTCCAATGAAATAGTTTATCTTTAATTTTTTTAAAAAAAACCTTTTAAACTTTAACTTTTAGACTTTTTTTAAGTAATAAAAAAACGTTAATTAAATAAACAAATCAAATAAATTAATTAATAAAATAATACTTTAAATAGATTAAAAAAATTTAGATAAATAATAGTATATATATATATATATATTAATCATTTAAACATTTATTCAGTACTATCTATCATCACATTAATTATTTCTGCTTATTTAAAAAAAAGTAAGTAATTATATTTTTTTAAAAAAAAATAATTGTTTATTGAAATATTTTTTAAAATTTATTTTCAATTTTATTATTTTTTAAGTAATAATGGAAGATGATTTACATCCTAAACCTGATATTGATTGGATATATAAATCAAAAAACAAACATGGTCAAACCAAATCAAACAGTTCGAACAACCATGGTGATAAATTTTCTATAAACAATTTAATAGTGAAGTAATCTATGGAATCGATAGGAATATTGAATAAACTATAAATAAACTAGATAAAATTAATAATAAGAAAATTAACCCGGATATGCCTAGACCTATATTTAGTCCATATGTTAAACTAATAAGATACGGAACCAATGAACCAAGTTCAAATATAGATAAATCTAAAACTAATTCATCCAGCTCAAGTAATTCAAGTTCAAACTGTTCTGGTTACTATTCAATGAATGATTAATTAAAAAAAATAATAATAATTAATAATAATAGTATTATTATTTAATTAAATATATATTATAATTATTTAAAAATAAATATTATAGAATTATAATTTTGCAATTAATAAAAACATAAATTTTTAACATAATTTTATTTGCTAAAGTTATTAGTATCAACTTATATTTTATTTTTATAATTACAATAACAAATATAATCATAGATATTGAAATAAGTTAAACTAAAATTATTTATTTAATCAATTAATATATATATTATTAAAGAAATTTATTTAGACTTATTTAGATTAGATTATAAATTACTTGAATTATAATTATCTTAAGTATAAAAAAATTATTATTATATATATATATATATATATATATACTGTATATAAATAATATTACATTTTGTTTTTTTATATTTTATAAAATATATTATCACATTATTAATTAGTTGTTTTAAACTATATATACAATAATATCTGTATACAGTATAAATTAATTACTAATTAGTTTTTTTTTTGAAAATTAAATAATCTTAATCAATAAAAAAAATTTAAAAAAAAATGTCGACCACATCTATACAACTATTTGATTATTTTCGTGAATTTACTAACGTATCCATTGATCTAAAAAATAAGATAAAACTATTACACGTAACAACTAAAATGCCGATTAGTTGTATAATGTTTGTGACCAACGATGACGATAAGGTATACGGTTTTATGGACAACAATTGGGGTCGGGCTGGCCAGGCATATGTCGGACAAAATAGTATATTATACGAACCGCAACTAATACCCGAACTGTCGGGTTGTGGCGTCAAAAAGTTTACGTTCGGCGAAACATTTGGCCTGTGTCTGACCCGAGATCATGGGTTATTTAGCTGGGGTTCAAATAGTTGCAGTGAATTGGGTAGACCTACCAGTGATCGATTGGATAAGCCTAAACAGATACCGTTTTTCGATAATAATAATAAATTAATCGCAGACATTACGTCGGGACCCAACTATTCACTGGCCCTGACCAGTACGGGTACTGTCTATGGCTGGGGTTGCAATACGTGCGGTCAGTGCGGTTGCGGTAAACAACCGGAAACCGATTATATTGATTTGCCTAAAATTGTCAAATTTCCCGATACTGATAATAATCCCGATAATAATAATAACAATACAGTAATTAAATCGATTTATTGCTATATGAATACCGCGTTTGCTATTACATTGGATAAAGGACTGGTATATCGATGGGGTTACGCACCGTTAGACAAACTTAAGCGTAAATTTCTGGATGCCTTCATCTATGAACCGCGTCTATTGCCTAATTTGGCTAATATTGTCGATATATCGTGCGATTCGCGTAGTATACCCGACCAGGAAACCTATTTTTTCCTGACCCGATCGGGTAATGTCTATCAAATGGGACGTCTGGATCAACTGGTCTATACCAGTGCATCGTTGGTTATCCGTACGGAAATTGTTAGCCAACTGTGCGGCGAATGTTATGTCCAAACGGTTGATAATCGATTCCTTCGTATTGAAGACAATGGCGACAACGGTATTCAACTTAAGCGATCATCTCATAGATGTTTCGTTGATTTACAAGCATTTGAATGCGAACGTACTATTAGTACCATTGATATTGAATTGTATCGGAAAAATTTAGCGGAAAATTTCCAAACTATTAACAGCTATTTTATGGAAACATTCAATAAGTTAACACTATTGGGTTCGGGTAGTTATGGACGGGTATATAAAGTTGAAGATAAACAGACAAAAATCAATTATGCCGTCAAAGATGTTTTTATTGGTATTAAAAAATAGATTTTATTATATTTTTTAAATAATAACAAAAATTTTTATGAAAATAATGAGTTTCAATATATATATATATATTAATAATAATATTTTATTTATTTATTTTAGGTAATTATTTTACTAATAATAATAATAATAATAATATAAATCTAATACAAGAAGTAAAAAATTTGCTAAAATTACGATCGGTTTATGTCTGCAAATACTATGACATGTGGTTTGAATCGATGGACAGTTTGTTTATACAAATGGAGTTATGTTTATATAATCTAAGAGATTGTCTATCAATGAAAACCAAACGATTTGATCGTAAATCTAATGAACCGATAGATTGTTTAGAGTTTTTCCTGACCCGTCAGCTGATGCTTGAAATTGCTGAATGTGTCGACTATTTACATCAATTACAGACGCCGGTTATTCATCGGGATTTGAAACCCGAAAACATATTGATTGTCGAAAATCGTAATCGATTTGTCAAACTGGGCGACTTTGGTCTGGCTATTGAACACAATAGTAATAATAATACTAATAATAATAATAGACAGCCGACTATTAGCAGTGGTAACGGTGCTGCTGATGATGATGATGACAACCAATCATCAGCAGCTAAATTGATATTACATACTGGACGAGCCGGTACTGTCAACTATATGGCACCGGAAGTTAATTGCAACAATAGAGATGAAAGGGTGCCGTATAATGAAAAAAGTGATATCTATAGTATGGGTCTTATATTTAAAGATTTATTTGATATCAATAATAATAGGTATTTGAATTATATATATATATATATATATATATATTTATTTTATATTAAAATTAAAATCAAATATTCTATAAAATAAATAAATATATATATATATATATATTATTAATTTATATTATATTTTTATATATTATTATAAATTATATATTTTTATTTATTTTTTATCAAGCAACTATTTACAACGATATAAATCTAGTAATTATTTGGAATATTATTTCAAAAATCTAAAAAATCTACTAGATGATATGTTAATACTAGATGATTACGATTGTAGACCAACATCGACAATGATTGTCAAATATATTCAATTGTTTTTGGACACACAATTAATATACAATCAAACTGTTTTGCAACAAAAATCAGCAAGCTCAAACAATATTGATGATGATGATAATAATAATAATAATAATATAATTAATCATATGATTAACATATATACTGGTGTATCAACATTTCAAATAAAACAACCATCATCAGATTATGATAATAATCATGAATTAGAAACCGATGATTGGAAAATTGGGAAATTTCTCAGGAAATTTCCATTAAACAATAAACTAGATTACTATCGTAATTCAATTAGACTATTACATTGTGACGGCCGAAACATATGGTTTGTTACGCTGGTCGGCGACCAGGTTTACGCTATCGGCCAGAATTCAATGGGTATACTAGGCATAGGTTTTACTAATAACCAACCAGTTTGCGACCAACCGATTCCTGTACGGGAATTATCCGGCAAACGTATCAGTAAATTTCAATTTGGTCTCACATTTGGCCTGTGTCTGACCAGCGATCATCAGCTATACAGCTGGGGTAGCAATCGTTGCGGTCAATTGGGTCGACTAACTGGCGGCGGACTGAATGAAGAATACAGTAGACCAGCACTGGTCGATGTCTTAGTTGCTGACAAACTAGAGTCCAATAGATTTGTTACGGACATGACGTGCGGTTGGCGTCACACTATCGTAGTGGACAATACTGGCCAACTGTACGGCTGGGGTGACAATAGTCGGGGACAATTGAATTCGACGACAATGCTAGCTGATGATTATTATATAGATAAGCCAGTCAAATTATTTCAAATAGATATATTTCTAACGACATCCAGTTTTTATAAATCAACAAAATTTGTTTACTGTTCAGAAAACGTATCGCTAGCCATATCTGGTGAACCATTGGACGGACGGGCCTACTGTTGGGGTGATTCGCATTATAGACGACTAAATTGTCCGACCGATCAAACCCATACCTATCGGTTGAATTTGGTTCATGAGATACCTATGGTTAAACATATCAAATTGCTTAGCTATACGGATATCTATACAATTTTATTAACATTGGATGGACTAGTTTATCTATATGATGGCTTAAATTTAAAACATTTAGATTATCTAGGTGTATTAATCAAAGATATCAAACATAATTATCTATTAATCAATCATTTAGTTATTGATTATTATAATGATAATGTTAATGTCGATGATGATGATGATGATAGTAATAAATTGATCATGGAGCTAATTATTGAACCAGATAATAATAATAATAATAATAAACAAGCTACATTTAATAGATTAGCATATAAAAATTTTGTCGATTTATTTGCTGATAGACATAGGATAACTGTAGAAACAATTGATCTTGTTGATAAATTGTTTTATTTAGATAGTGAACTAAATACTACTAATATTTTTAGTGGTAGTAGTAATAGTAGTAATAGTAATAGTAATAGTAATAGTAATAGTAATAGTAATAGTAATAGTAATAGTAATAGTAATAGTAATAGTAATAGTAATAGTAATAGTAATAGTAATAGTAATAGTAATAGTAATAGTAATAGTAATAGTAATAGTAATAGTAATAGTAATAGTAATAGTAATAGTAATAGTAATAGTAATAGTAATAGTAATAGTAATAGTAATAGTAATAGTAATAGTAATAGTAATAGTAATAGTAATAGTAATAGTAATAGTAATAGTAATAGTAATAGTAATAGTAATAGTAATAGTAATAGTAATAATAATAACATTATAACCGCTGCTACTGCTACTACTACTACTACCAATACTACTAGTGCTCACATCCAGTGGCCACTACCAACCGAAAACCAACTATTTATTGAACAGTTAACCGATATGGGTATCGACGGGGAAACAGCTCGTAGAGCACTCAACTATACTGGCTATCAGTCAATTGATTTGGCCATCGAATGGCTGTACAGTGATTCGCCACTGACATCAACCCAACTGGAGGACAGTCGTCAACTTGTTTTCAAAGAGGAACGGTTGGTCGATAGACGACTGGCTAGAATACCTGCCGGCCGGTCATACGGTAATAATAATAATAATAACCAAACATGCGATATATACAGAATGATATACATTGTTAATACATCGCTGAACATAACTAGCGGTATAATAGCTGCACAGATAGCCAAAGCATCGATAGTAATGTACGAACGATTACTGAACGACCAGACATTGTTTGGCCAGTCGTTGATGGAGTGGTCAGTAAACGGAAAAAATACTATTGTCTACAAAGTTAAATCCGGCCAACAATTAGCCGAATTGTATGAATGGGCATTCAGTTTAGCATTGCCTACCTATCCGGTCAATTATAGTAGTGATTTAGCCGACAAACACAGTGTCGTTACCGTTAATGTCGACACCGCTAATGACGTTACCGATAATGTCGACACCGATTGTCTGATATTACTATGTATTTATGGAAACAGTATTGTTTTAGACACTATATTAAGTAATTTAATTCGTTATTGATTTTTTTTATTATAAGTTTATGTGAATTATGATAAAAATTATTATTATAATCAATATTATCTGAATAATTAATATGATTAAAATAAATAGATTTATTAAAAAAAACCTATTTTTATATATCTATTTTAAAAAAAAAAAATTATTAAATTATTTTAATCAATTAAAATTTAAACTTTTATTTACTATATCAATATATTAACAATAATAATGAAAATTTTAAGTAAATTGATTATATTATTAATTTTAATTAATTTAATTAATTGAAAATAAAATCTAAAGTTTATTAATTTAATTAGAAAAATACAATTTTATTAAAGTATAATATATTATTATTATTAAAATGATTATTAGATATTTAGACATAATATTATTATTAATAAAAATAATAATTAGAAAAAACTATTGAAAAAAATAATTCAACTAATATTAGATATTTTAGTCATAAAAATTTTTCTAAATATATTATCATCAGCAATATTTAATCTATTAAATAATAACAATGCATTATTTTTAATATCACCCATGTTAATATTATTATTAATATTATTATCATTAATAATATCCGAGCACCTGGGCCGTTTATAGTAGTCATCATTGAGCATTATGGGTAAAATATGAACAATATCAATTAGATAAGCAGGCAAACATTTATTATCAATGTATTTATTTAAACAGTCACTAAAAATATTTTTTAAAAATAAAAATATATCAAAAAATTAATATTCATTTAAGTAAATATAATACAAAAAAAATTGAATTAAATTATTACTTTATATACTTATAGTAAACCAGTATATTGTTGTCACTAAATATTTTCAAACATTTACTTTTACAAAAATTAAAAATAAAATAATAATTAATAATAATTAATAATAATTAATAATAATTAATAATAATTAATAATAATTAATAATAATTAATAATAATTAATAATAATTAATAAAAAAACTTACTTTATATCAATAATGTCCAACAATTGCATAATAATAATACCCAGACTATAGACATCACTTTTTTCATTATAGGCTATACGATCGTCAGCATCTCTGTTAACTTCCGGTGCCCTATATAGTTGAGTACCTGTTTTATTGGTATGTAATTCAGATGACTGGCCTCCAACCCAACGGTTGTGTTCAGTGGCTAAACCAAAGTCACATAGTTTTATAAATCTATTGCCTATTGACTTATCATTGATTATCTGTATTAATATGTTTTCCGGTTTTAGATCCCGGTGTATGACTGGCGGCTGACGTGTATGCAAATACTCGACACATTCGCATAGCTCTTGGATTATATGACTGGTTATGTAATACTCGACCAAATCTATAGGTTGTTCACAGCGATGGTTGGCTTGTCGTCCAAATGTCTGTCCTTTTATTTCTAGTAGTTTTCCGAGACTTTGCAAACATAATTCCATTTGTATGTACAGAAAGTCCGATTCAATCCAACCGTCATAATAGTAGACAACATATTTTGAACGCAATTTTAGCAAATTTTTTACTTCGTCTATCAAATAGCTGTTATTAATGTCTATATATATATATATATATATATATGTTTTTCAAACAACAAAATGATATTATAAAATATATATATAATTTTTATTTTTACAAAAAAAATATATTATTATAAAAAAATATAGTATACCATTGAATATCTCTTTGATAGCAAACAATTGATTAGTCTCCCTGTCCTCAACTTTATAAACCTGTCCATAGGTTCCCACACCTAATGTATTGTGTTTTAGAAATTTTTGTTGAAAATAATTTCGATTTTCTTTGATATCAATAATTAGATTTTCATTATTATTATTATTAATATTATTATTTTCTTGTATATTAATTGTATGTCTAGTTAATTGATAATCAATAGCTAATAGATAGTCAAGATTATTAAAACTAACTAATTTTAATAAATTTAGATTATTTTTCAGATCATAGCTAATCTTATAGATAGTATTATCTAATTTATTATAAACAAAATTACTATAGATATCGACAATATTATTATTATTATTATTATTATTTAATATACAAATCGGTAATTTATATACAATATCACCGACTCTACCCAATTGATAGACACTGCCATCCGATTTGAGAAAATAAGTTAAATTAATATTAATTTGATTATTATTATTATTATAATTAGTTATGGCAATTATATTAGTTAGTAACTGATGGTCTAACAGTTTAGGTTGCCAATTGTTGGCAATCAACCAATTAGGTTGATTGTTTGGTCGACCCCAACAGTAAACTAGTCCACTACCCGTACCGTCAATAGTATCATCAGTTATAGCATACGAACTGTTATTATGACAGTAAATGGATTTTATTTGAATATCCGGATGAAATCTAACCCGAATCGGACAGTCAACAAACGGATAGTAGTGTTGTCCACAACCAGTCTGACCGTCACTATTATCGCCCCAACCGTAGATCCAGCCATTGCTGGTCAGTGCCAGTGAGTGACAGTCACCGCATTGGATATCACTAATACCGATATTGTCGGGAAATGTTATCATTGCTGGTCTACTACTGGTATAGACATCACTGGTATATCTACCCAATTGGCCCAATCTATTCAAACCCCAGCTATATATCCGATGGTCACCACCACTACCATCACGGGTCAGACACAATGCAAATGTCTGGCCAAACCTGAATAGTTGGACACCTATTTCGCACAACTCCTGTATCAACACTTGTGGTGATTCATCATTCACTACATTGTTGTCTAAGTTGTTGTTATAATACTTGTTGTTATCTCCCAATGAATAAACTAAATCATCAATTGTAACAAATATTATATTTTCATTATCCACGCAATGAAATAATTTTATTTTATTTTTCAACGTTTCCGATATTTTTTGGCTAACCTTAAACTTATCTAATAATTTCATTTTTAAAAAAAAAAATTAAAACATAATTTAGTAGTTTTGTTATTAGATTTTTGATTTCCACCTAATAATTGAATTTTTTTAAGTATATAATATGTGACTAATGTTTGAAAACAGAAATGATATCTATTTTTTATATGTATTTAATTGATTATTATTATTATTATTAGTTATTTTCTGATAAACTTAATTATTAATAATTTTTTTCGAATAGTTATTTTTGAAGTGCAAATAGTTTAGATAATTATTTATCAAATTTAAATCCATTAGTTTTTTTTATAGTTAGATTATAATTATACACTTATTAATAGTTATGTATTTAATTTTACAATGCATTACATTTATTAGAGAAATATTTCTTTATATAAAAACTTTAACAATATAATTGAGATATATATTTAGATTTTATAAATATAATTAAAATTAAAACTACATTTTACTAAATATTATTAATATAATTAATATATTTAATTATTATTTGGTTAATAACTATTACTAACCTTTTATTATTTATTTAGTTATTTCCTAACTTTGATATTTTCACTTAATTAATATATTTAAAAATATTTATTATTTAATATATTTAAAAATATTTATTATTTAATATATTTAAAAATATTTATTATTTAATATATTTAAAAATATTAATTATTTAATATATTTAAAAATATTTATCATTTAATATTTTTTATGATATTTGTTGAAAACAAAACACATAAAAAATTGTAAAAATTAATTTTTCTAAATTATCATATTTTATCGTAACTAAAATAAATATTTTTTAACTAAAATAATATTTCTAAAGCAATTATCTCAATTAAATATCAATTTATTGCAATTGTTTAAATCAAATAAATATATAATATTGTATTTTTAAAATCGCTTAAATGTTTATTAATTATATTATTTAATTTATTTTTAATCTAACCTGGATCACAAATAATAAAAAAAATATTTATCATCATGAAACTATTTAGTACTAAACTATTTAAGACATATTAACAATTAGATTGGTTTTAAGTTAATTGAAGATTATCCCCCATAGACACCATTGTACACAATTGATAAATGATCAAGATAATTATTTAGTTGACTATTCAACAATAATTCAAAGTGATTTTAAAATTATTTGATAATAATAATAATAATAATAATAATATTTTGAAAAATATATTTAATACAAAATTATCAATTGATAAATAAAAATATGAATTTGTTGTTGACATCAACGGAGACAATGTATTCAGATAGCGATAAAGAGAGAGAGAGAGAGAGAGAGAGAGAGAGAGAGAGAGAGAGAGAGAGAGAGAAAATACTAACAAAAAGAGATTATTTAAGAATTTTAAATAAAAAACATTTTAATTTTTAACATTTTTTTTAATAATCTAAATCTATTAAACAACCAAAAAATTAATTAATTAAATAAAGTTTAAATATATATTTAATATTCAATAAATTAATAGATTTCATTTGTTATTTTATTTAATTATTATAAACTAAACTAATTTAATTTTGTTAGAAAAAAGTAATAATAATTATAATATTAAATTTAATACTTAAAATAATTATCAATTACAATTTAAAAAAAAAATATAAAGTAAATAATATATAGTTTTATTTTAATGATTAAAATTAATAATTGTCAATTATATTTCGATTTAATTTTAATTGATATGATTTAAATTGATTTATTTAAACTATAAAAACAGCAAATTTATTAAAGTAAATAGAAAATTATACAAAAAATTTTTTATCAAAAAATTACAAAAAAAATAATAATAATTCTAATATAATAATAATTGAGGGATGATTTCAAATTTGTTATATAAATTATATAAATATGTAATAATTGTTATAATAATTAATAAATGTCATAATTATTTATATATATAAATGATAGATAAATAATTAATAATTATAAATATATGATTATAATACACATATATATTAAATATTTTTTTTAATCTATAAAACAATATACTGATTATCATATTATATAATATAATATATAAATCATATCAAAGTGGTCGGGGAGAGTGCAACTCATGGACAGTGCTATCAATATCGGGTATATGTTGACTATGGCCACCACTGGCGCCGCCATAACCGTAAGCCCAATCGCCGAGTGCCGATTCGCTGGTCAAACGCGGTGTCAGTTTATAATGTATAACTAGACCTTCGCTGCCCTCCAATTGGCTCAACACTGTCAGCACTTGTCTATACAAGAAAAACAAACAAACAGTTAGCTATCAACCCATCCATCATATTGACCATCGTCTACCTGTGCAACGGCGGTACACTGTCGATGGTTGTCATTGTACCCCTAGTGGACACCAAGTTTATACTTTGACTACAATTGCATACAATCTGTGCCCAATCATCGGGTCGTCGATTTTCCACTACAGCTACCATTCCTGACCAGTGTTGGGTCAGACAGTAGGAGGTGACGCCCACTGCAATCTAAATCAAATCAATCAAAATAAAATTAAATTAGTTGTATGTTATCCCGGGTAACAGTTAATTGAATTGATATATAGATAAAAAACTCCCGAACCTCGTGTCTCTGGCCTCTGGCCATAGCAATGCTGATCAGTGCGTCGGCCAACATATACTTCGGCGGTTTGATACGTTCAATGAGCAGCGATTGTGCACTATGTATGGCCAACAAATAGTTCGGGTAGTTAGCGGGAAACTGGTGTTCAACTGTATGAATGATTAAATACATTATATGTTAGCTACCAGTGCTTTATGAATAGGAAAGTTAGTAGTATTTGATATCAATAGGTATCAGTTAAATTGACCGCGGTACTTACAGGTATGCCAGTGATTGAAAGCCATCGTAACAATAGCATAGACTCCCGGCTCCAGTATCTGATGACAACTGACAAAACTCTGGACCTGTCGATTGCTGGCCATAGTCAACGGTCCGAGCATACCATTGTACGGATAGACAGCAACGGCCAGATCCAGCCTGGATCGGTGTTTGTTGTCCTCCGATCGGCGATCGCTAGACTGATAGACGCACAGTTCCAGTTCGGTCGGTTCGGTAACTATAACCATAACCATAGTCGTATGGTTCAGATCGTCGGCTCGGGACGGAAAGTGGCCATCGATACGACACTCGTGCCATTTTGGCCGTACTTTGCAAACATCGACAGCGTTGAAGTACTGGAGAAAGTCACGATAGGACATCCAGAAGCAGCCGTCGCTATTGTCGGCTACGGTTTCGGTGTTGGTGTCGTCGTTCGGCTGAAGTCGGCGTCTGAGCGACGGTGTCCACAGCGGCGACAGATCAGACCAATCGCCGTTCCACGAGTGACAACCCCAGGGATTACGTAACCGAATCAAGCGGTTACCGCCGGCGCACTGAACGTCCAGCACGGAGTAGGCGTGCCGTGGCTTCAGGCCTTTGGCATAGAATATGCTGTCGGGTGTCGAGTTGAACGGCCCGGAGCCGCACGAAGCGCCCATCAAAAAGCCGGCCATCCGTGAGCTGAGTATCTTTGCCCACAGTATATCCGGATCCAAGTCTTCGCAATGATCCACTTCGCGCGGCTGCAGAAAATAGGTATCGCACGGCGAACCGGTCAATATGGACATACCTTCTAGTGTACGACCGGATACCAGGGCTTCGTAACAGCCAAACAGTTTGGCCACTGCTTTCTCAATGAACGGTACCCACAGTTGGCCGCGTTTTGCTTTCGAGTAGACCAGCGATCCGCTAGAATCGCACGGCAACAGGTCATCAATTAGGACGGTTGTCCATTTGCCGTCCCGACATAGCCGTACCTGATAGGCACCCTCGGGACACACGTCGCTGGTAACCATTACTTTGCGTACCAATTCGGGTCGTTCGGCCAGTACGGCCAGTGCCGACAGTAGCCAACAATTGCCGAGAATACCCTGTGATATGTCCGATGGTTGCGGTGTCCGAAATACTGTCCACGGAATCATCTGATAGCTGCCCATCCTATCGCGTGTAACAACTTGTTCGGGTCTTAGCCACTGACTGACCGAATTTCGGCACTCATTTCTACTGTTCCTGTAGTACAGTGACCGCTGTAGCGGCGGAAACGAGTCGTCCACAAACTTTGACCGATCACGGCGTAGAAAATCCAATATTTTTGACCATTGATTAAACGCTTCCCGATTCTCCAATTGTTGGCGATTTTTACGGGATATGGACTCGTATTTCATTAGACTATTGTGCCGACTCTGTCGGTAAATATCACCGATAATTGACTGTCTAGTTGTATGAGTAGTAGTAGGTCTATGACCACTAGTAGTCGGTGTTAGATGATTGCCGTTTACTACTGGCCGGTGTTGCCGTTGGCCACTCATGTGTGCGGCGGCGGCGGCGGTGTTTGAAGTGAACATTTGAATCACCAAAAAAAAAATTTGAAGTTTTTTTCTTCAATTTTTTTGTTGTTTGTTTGACTCAAGTATTGACTTTTTTTTGTTGGTTTTTTTTGTTGGCTTTTTTTGGTATCAATTATTACTATTATTACTAATTAAATTAAACTTTTTATTTAAAAAAAATTTATATATTATTATATATAAAATTTTGTGCCAAAAATTTTTTTTAACATTTATATCAATATGTAATTATTTCCAAAAAAAAAAGTTTTTCAATAACAACATAACAACAAAATTTTCACAAAAAAAAATTAATTAATATATGATTCATATGACACATGGTTTGGTTATTATAATCATTATTATTATTATAAACTTATAGTTAGTTTAGTCATCATTTTTTTTTTATAAAAAAAACTACTTTACATTTACTAATATTATTATTATTATTATTATTATTAAATTAGTATAATTTTATTAATTATCATCATATTGTATCATACGATAGCAATAAATAGTTTTTTTTAAATATATATACTTAATATAAATTCAATATTATATACAATACTGTATATAAAGTTATATAACTACTAAACAATGACTTTTGACTATTGAATTAATTTTGTTATTTTATTTTATTTTTTTATTTCAAATGACTTATTGAATAACTAAATAAAGCTAAATCTCTCTCTCTCTCTCTCTCTCTCTCTCTCTCTCTCGTCAAACAAAATGTATAAATTATTATTTTTTTGTGTCAATGACTTTAACTAAAAAAAAAACTTTATTTTAGTTTATTGTTGTCATTGTTGTCGTTGATTTGTTACTGTTGTTGAAGTAATACTTTATTATTATTATTATTATTATTATTATTATTATTATTTAGTTTATATAAATATAAATAATAATAATTATTATTTAGTAGTTATTTTTATTTTTTTATTTTTTAAAAAACTTACGGATCAATTAACTTGTTTAGTGTAATGTATTGTTGTTTAAATATTTATTATAATCATAGTTATTATTATTATTATTATTATTATTAGTATAATTTTGAAGGTATAGTTAGTATTAATATACTGTATATATAATTTATATATAACTATAACATATAGATTTTTGTTTCATTTATTTAATAAAAAAATAATTATAATATAATTTTTTGTTTGTTTGTAATACATAGTTGTATTTTATTATTATTATTATTATTATTATTTATTTATTTTTGGTTAACAAAACAATTATAATTGAATATTTATAATTAAAACATATTTGATTGAACCAATTAAATACAACAAACATTTAATATATGTTTATTAAGTCAACATTTATTATTAATATTATTATTATTATTATTAAACAATTTTTTTATTATCGAAAATAATTTTCTCTCATATTTGTTATTTAGTTTTTATCATATAATCCATTGGTTGCTAACAATATTTCTAAAAACAAGTAGTTATTATTATTATTATAATTTATATATTATATTATTAGTTACGCTATCTTTAGTTAAATATTATTAAATTATTTTAACAATAATAATAATAATAATACTTTTGTAACTACTATTGTTGTTTGAAAAACAACAAAAATTTTTTTAATATATTGTATTATATCATTGATGTATGACAAAAATGTGTATATGTTTTATATTATTAATATATACTGTATATATATATATATATATATATATACTGTATATATAATTTAAAAGTCATCAATGAGATTTTATTTATTTATTTTTTTGCTACTAATAACACACACATACACATGTTAAATGTATGATTTATTTTTTTTTATAAAATTTTACTTTTTCAATGTATATAATAATTATTAAAAAAAAAAATATCTTATTGTTTGGTTGATTATATTGTAATTAACTAAAAATAAAGGTATGGCTATAATAATAATAATCATAATAATAATTAGTATTATTGTTGATTACCTAACTAACTAATTGCTGTCTAAAAAAAATAAATTACTAATTGTTGTATATATTAATAATATAAAATTAATTGATCAATTAATATATTTTTTTAAAAATAAAATACTGTATATAATAATAATACTGTTAATCACTATTACGGTATATAAATTATATATTAGTATAAATATATACAGTATATAGTAGTTTTAAATTTTTTATTTAAAAAAAAATTAGCATGCATGATTATAACTAAAAAAATTATATTAGATATGTTTTACAAATAATAAATAATGTGAATAATAAAGTTATTATTTATTATATATATACGGACGTCCTAAATGAACGACACTTATACTTTTATACACCCTTTTTTAATATTACAGATTTCATAGACAATAATAATAATTATTATTATTATTAATGTACCCTGATAAATAGTACAGTGTACTAAATGTACTAAAAAAATGTGTTTATTTTCACTAAATTTATATTTAAAATTGCATTTTAACCACAATTATGATAAAACTTGTTATTTAGTAATACATATAAATATGAATACTGTATATAAAAAGTACAGTCAAATTATGTTTTATAATTTAATTATAATTACAAATAATAATAATCATAATAATAGAAACTTTATGTACTGTATTAATGAGTAAAAGTATTTTTTTAAGTAAATTTAATAACTAATATTTAATTTTGTTTTTTTTTTGATAACATTTAATTTGTATTTTATTTTATAAAAAACATTAGTTTAAAATACAGTATATATAAACAGTGACTTCAAATTTACTTATAGTTTAGATTAATTTATTATTAATTATTTGCTTTTTTATATAACAATAAGCGCACATTCATACCAACACTTTCAAAACAAAACATTAAAAAATTTTAATAAGCAATAGAAATGACAATAAAAAATGCCTATAAATACATATAATCATAATAATTTTTTTTTAATTTTTGCAATTTAAAAAAAAATTATTATATTAAATAATTGAATATAATGTGATTTTTAATAATTTATATTTTTTGCTATTTATTAATTAATTTTTATAATAATTATTATCAATGTTAAAATACTTAATATATATATATATCAGGGTTAAGCAAGGTTTTGGATTTTAGGGGGGTAGACCGGGGTAAAATTTACAAAATTCTCAAAAAATCTTGGGGGGGGGTATTGGGTGGGGTAAGATTTTTATTGCATTTTTAAACAGCAATTTTTTCAAAAATAAAAATCAAGGGGGGGGGTCAAGAGAAAATTCCCTAAAAATTCCTTAAGTTCCCGAATATTCCCATGTAAATTCAATAAAATTCCCATAAGTTCCCGTATAAGTTCCCGGGAAAATAGGTAAAATTTCCAAAAATATAAAAAAAACTTAAAAATTAACAAAAACTTAAATTTTAACAAAAAATAAAATAATGTATTTAAGATTTAAAAATAGTTGATAAAAGCATTAATGATACACTATGAGTTATTTTTAGTATTTTAATAATTTTTAACTTTTAACATAATTAATTATTTAAATAATACTTAATGTTCATAGTTTATATATATAATTTTATTTTTTAATGTTATTTTTATATAAATACTGACTGAATACTAATTATTAAATTCAAAATTTTTAAGATTTTTTAGTTTAATATTTTAATTAAAATTATGTTATTTTTTCATGAGTTTTAACGTTATTTTAACTATTTTATTTATTTTTAATCAATAATTAGATTCATATAAATTTTAAAAACATATAAACACTAAAAACACTAAAATTAAAATTTTTTAAAACTTCAAAAAATTTTCGGCGCCTTCGGCGCCGAAATTTTAGGGAGGGGGGTCATTTCTCCTCGTTTTTAAGCGACATTTTTTCCCATTTGGTCAAAAAGTCTGGGGGGTAAAATCCCAAAATCTCGATCTTAGGGGGGGGGGTATTTTGGCCATACCCCCCCTACCCCCCCTTACTTAACCCTGATATATATATATATAAATATATTTTACGTTATGTATGGTTGTCTATGTGTTACCAATTACATGATGTAATCTATCGTATAATAAACTATACAATTGTTTGTATGAAAGTGTTGGTATGAATGTGCGCTTATTGTAATACTACATTTATTTATATATATATATTTATAATTAACATATTATACAGTATTAACTTGTCCTTCAATGATATATAATATAAAAAAATTTCATAAAATAAAGTCAACTATATGTTATATATATATTATATATATATATATATATATATATATATATAACATATAGTTGACTTTATTTTATGAAAAATTTTTTTATCAATAATTGTACATTAAAATAATTTAATTGGGTAATTAATAATTACACACAAAAAATTGTGTTTATAATATTTATTAGTATATATATATTATAAGCATATATACAACTATTAAAATAAAAAATACTTAAATTTTAAATTAAAAAAAATGTTTTCAAATATATATATATATATATATATATTTATAATTAATAATAAAATAATTATATTTTTGCTTTATATATACAAGTGAAAAACAGATAACTAATAACATATATGATTATAAAACTATTATAGAAAGTTATATAAAAAAATTTTTTTAATAAAAAATGTGTTAAAAAATATATTAGTGTTTTGTAATATAAATAAAATTATATATAAAAATATAATATAAAACAACAACAAAAATTATATTACTATTTGTGTGTGTATATCATAATAATTATAAAATCTATACCACAATAATTAATTAACTGTTTTTTGTATAGCAATTAATATGTGTTTATTACTATATAAATAAAAAATAAAAATAATAATTATCACTAAATAAATATAATAAATTTCATTTCTGACTCTAAAGTTCAGTAAAATATTATATAAAAATAGTTTATTTTTTATATGTATTAATATATTAATAATATTAATAATATTATTATTTAGAAAAACATTGACAATTAATATATTTTGTAATACATTAATAATAAAATTAATTAATTAATAAAAACGTTTTATTAACGATAACTTTTTTTTATTGTTGTACTGTATATTATAATTAAATAAATAGATTATTATTATTTTTTTATAAAGGTAAATTATATATATATAAAATCAAATTAAACTGCAAAAAATTAATGATAAATTATAAAACAATAAAGTTTATATTAGTAGTAGTTTTTTTAATATGTATATAATAATAATATAATTTAATTTCATAAAAAAATAATAATACTAATAAATATTATTACTAACTATTATTATTATTATTATTATTATTATTACTATTACTATTACTATTACTATTACTATTATTATTATTATTATTATTATTATTACTATTATTATTATTATTTAATTAACATGATATGACATTTTCTCATCGATTATAGCCTTAGAAAGTGGATTTTAAGTGCAATGTAATTATTATTATAGTAATTATATATTATAAACAATATTTATAATAATAATCACATTTATATACACATAAAAAAAATAAGTTATAACAAATTAATAAAAAACAAAATTATTTATTTATATAATACAATATTAATATATATATATATATATATATATTATAGATATTAGATAACAAAAAAAAATATTATGACACTAACTATTTGAAGTATAGTTTATTAAGTTTATTAACAACTTAATTAAATCATAAAAACATTTATTAAATTTTGAAAAAATATTTATATCAAAACAATCAAATCTAATTGTGTGAAAATAAATATATAATATTTTTAAAAATTATTTATTTTTTATATGTTTAATTGGTTTAAAAAATAATTAAATATAATTTCCATAATTTTTTAATTTATGTGTTTATGTGTGTGTATATATGTTACAATTTACGTAATAATTATAATATTTTTAACCAAGATTATTATTATTATTATTATTATCAACATGTTTAATAAGCATGATTAAACTTTATTATTTAATCAAAAAATATAAAATAAAAAAAAATGTTCATTATAAACTTATAGTACTACTACTACTACTACTACTACTGTATATTTAGTTTAATAAATTTATTATTATTATTATTATTATTATTATTATTATTATTATTATTATTATTATTATTATTATTATTATTATTATTATTATTATTATTATTATTATTATTATTATTATTATTATTATTATTATTACTACTACTACTACTACTACTACTACTACTACTACTACTACTACTACTACTGTACCATTAGATAAGATACCGGTTCATAAAATATATTGCAATATTATGGTTGATATTTAAGCAATAGTATTAAATAGTATCTTATTTTATTTAAAATATATATATATATATATAAATTATATTAACTTTATATATATATATAGTGTGTGTGTGTGTGTAAAAAAACCTTGATATCATTGGTTTAGACACTTAATAAAATGATAATTATTATTATTTTTTTGTTGGGACGTCATAATGTAATTTATGTACTTTTAACTTTAAATAACAATTAATAGTATTATTATTATTATTATTATTTCTCACTAAAATTTTTAGTACATTTGAAGGGAAAGGGAGGCCTGTCTTATGTCAATCAAACAACAAACTAGAAATTAAAATATAAATTTTTGTTTTGAATACTATTATAATTGTGAGGGTGTTTGACACACACCCAAAAATAATAATAATAATAATATAATAATAATCACTAAATAATAATTTGATAATATTTTTTTGTTATCAAAAAAAAATAACCATTTAATTAATTTGTGTATTGATTTATTTTTTTTTTAAAAAATAATATTTTAAATATAATATAATTTTTTTTTGTGTGACAACATTTGGATTTATTATTATAATTATTATTATTTTTTATTTTTTGGTGACAATTAATAGATGAAATCAACAATTAATAATAAGTCATCAAAAGTTTGTTTGGTTTGCGGAGATAAAGCTGACGGTATGTATAGTAATAATAATAATAATAATAATAATAATTGATAACTATTTTTGAAATATTAAATCAATAAATTTATATTTTATTTTATCATAAAAATTTTTTATTTGAAAAAAAATTTTTTAGTATAGATTATTGATAATATCGATAATAAAATTAATAGTATTATAAGTATATATTAAAATATAAACAAAAATTGAAACATTGTTTTTAAATAATTATAATTTTTTTGTTGTTGAATTATTTGATGATAAAATACAGTATTTTATTTGACATTTATGTAAATTATTAAAAACATATAATTGATATTTAACTTTATAATTAACATTAATTTAATTTTTAAAAATTTAATTTATTTTGTATCAAGGTTATAATTTTTGTGCACTAACCTGTCAATCATGTAAAGCATTTTTTAGACGACACGCTTTAAAACAAGGGGTAAATTTAATAATAATAATAATTTATTTAAAATAAATATATATATATTAATTAATACAATAATTGTTATTTATAATAATTTACAATCAAAATTATTAACAATAATAATAATAATAATTTATTATTAAAAAAATAAATATATATATAAATTAATACAATAATTATTATTTATAATAATTTACAATCAAAATTATTATCAATAATAATAATTATTACATAATTAATTATTAATTAAATTAATTACATAATTAAATTAAATAATAATTATTATTATGTAATTATTAATTAAATCAAATAAACAAAATACAAAAATTTAAAACATAATTTTTGTAACTAATAACTAATATTTTTTTTAATTAATTAATTTTATTATTAATTAATTAATTAATGAAAATTTCTTGAAACAGAAACACAAATGCAAAACCAATAACAAGTGTGCCATCAATTCAGTGACGAGAAAGTACTGCAAGAGTTGTCGTCTGAAAAAATGTTTTTCCGTCGGTATGAATAAAGTAAGAGTTAATTATTATTAATATTAACTATTATTAACTAATAATAATTATTAAATATTTAAAAAAAATTTAATTATTTTTTTTAAACCGAAAAAATAAATAAAGGATTGGATTCTCAACGATGAAGAAAAAGAGTTGAGAAGACATAAGATCGAAGAGAATCGTCAGAAACGAAAACAGACACAACATTTGAAGGATAACAACAACGACAACAATGACAACAACAATAGGGATCCGATTGGCGATGACTTAAAGATATCGTTATCATCGCCTGATAGTCGGTCGTCATCTTTTTCATCTACACCTAAAAGTACTGCTCACGAGTTGTTACCGTACAGTAAGTTCTCAGAAGAATCGCCGACACATGAGATCGGTTCGGCTGATGATGAAGAAGAAGAAGATATCGATACATACGAACTGAAAGACTATTTGCTTGACATTGCTGTCAACGACAACGACAACAACAACAACAACGACGTCAAGGATATTGTTGTTGATGTCAAAGATGAAGACAACAACTCAAAGTCAAGTCATTCGTTGTTGTCGTCGTCGACGACGTCGACGACCAACTGGTCGGATGACAACAACAACAACACTCATAACTACTACTACAACACCAACCACAACAACAACCACAACACAGACCTCATAATCGCCGATCAGTACTCAAACTCGAGTGGTATTGAAATCTTCAATACCAGTGCTGACGTTAACAATCTCCATCAGCTGATGGCCATCGATGATGTTGTTGATGATGATGACGACGACGACTACGTGGACACTAACATCAAGTTAGCCTATATAGAGGCGGAGACGACCTCTTGGACAGATACCGACAGTCTCACGGCCAACACTGTCACCGATATTGTCTGTCCGGACCCGTCCAACCAACGTAACCATCGTAACGAAGAACTTCTCCGATCGTTGCAATTGAAATCACTTGAATATGAATTATCCGTCGAGTTTTCCATACCTCATACCATCAACAATGTCCACAATTTCAGTGAAGTCGAAATCAAACTCCTGAACGAAATCTATACCCTAAGCAAACCGATGACCCGATTGGCTTTCGATCCGAAACTCCGTATATTTGTTGTCCGATCGGCCACCGAATACTTACGATCGGTACCCAATCGGTTCGAGTTGTATGTCAAACGGTTTACCGATCTGACCAAACAATTGAATTGTTTTCAATCGTTGTGTCTGAACGACCAGATCGGTCTGATTAAGTACGGCTGTATTGAAGTACAGGTATCGAAAACGGCCATCAATTTCAACTACGAAAAGGAGTGTTGGGCTTTCAGGACGGTATGTGATGTTAGTATTTATATAATTATATTTATAGATAATTATAAAGTTTATATAATAATAGGTATATAATATTTTTATATATATATATTTATTTATAATTTTTGATATTTTTAACAATTAACAAAAAAAATCTATTGACTAATTATAACAATAATAGTTAATTAATATTAATATATTTAATTATATTTATATTATATTTTTAATTATATTTATATTTTTAATTATATTTATATTTTTAATTATATTTATATTTTTAATTATATTTATATTTTTAATTATATTTATATTTTTAATTATATTTATATTTTTAATTATATTTATATTTTTAATTATATTTATATTTTTAATTATATTTATATTTTTAATTATATTTATATTTTTAATTATATTTATATTTTTAATTATATTTATATTTTTAATTATAATTATAATTATAGACTGATTATACGCCATCGCATTCAGTTATCCTTAAATTGGACGCATTCAAGGATATGACTGTCGATATCTATCATCCATTAAAACATTATTTATTTCAAATGGTCAAAGACTTGAGAACCGATCCAATGGTTTTATATTTGGTAATTAATTTAATTTAATTAATAATTATTATTATTTAGTTTAGTTTATTTAATATTATTTATTATTTTATCCAAAAAAAAACAAACAATTTTATTAATTTTTAAAATATTTATTTTAATTATTATACCAGTTAATGCCAATTGTATTATTTAATCCGGATCGTCCGAACTTAATTGAAAAAGATATCATCAGGTACAAATTTTTTATTTGTAAATTAGTAACTATAAATATATTATTATAATTTTAATTAATTTTTGTTGGTAAACACATTGTTTCTCAAAAAAAAAAAAAAAATATTTTTATTAACATATTATTTATATATTTATTTATTTAGTTATCATCGAAATGTTTATCTATATTTATTACGCAAATATTTATACATAAAATACGGATCGGAATCGGAAGCCAATCGTATATACTCTCGGATATTGAATTTGTTGCCCGAAATACGGGTATTGAATGAACTACAGAAGCAAATGTACAAAACAATGACAACTGTCGATAGATCGCCGCTTTTGAAGGAAATATTATTGGATGACATCCCGACACCAACTGATGGCGACATTAATAATAATAATAATAATACCGATAATTATAATAATAATAATAATCATATGTCTATTGCCCGATGTTGTCAGGAAAGTTGACAACAATTTTTTTTTGTTGAGATTAATTAAAAAATATTTTTTGATAAAATTATTTTAATGAGATTATATACAGTATATATATATGATTATATATAATATGAAAAAAATATTATATTAATATTTTTTGTTGTTGTTATATAATTATTATCATAAAAGTGCAATAAAATAAATATTATTTTTTTAACTATAATTAGTTTATTTTATTTTATCTATTTTATTAACAATATATATTTGAATCAATTTAATTTATAATTAGAAAATAACTTGTAATGTGTAATGACTTTTATATAGTATATTAAAATTTATAATAATATATACATAAATTTTAATATAAATAGTTAAATAAAATAAAACATTTTTAACTACTTATATAATAATAATATGTTAATTATTACTACATTATACTAATTTTTGATTTTATTTGTTTGATTGTATAATTTATTACAACAATTACCGTATATTATGACTAAACAGTAATTATTTGTAGACTATATGTGTCTATATATATATATACAGTATATATATTGAAAACTAAAAATAAAATTACTTATTTTCCTCAATTTTTTTCCACACCATATATTAGAGGCCGAGAGTAGTAAGAGTAGTAGTAGTAGTGATGACCAATATTTTTACAAACAGCACCGGGAGCTAACCCAACTGGCCTCTCTCTCTCTCTCTCTCTCTCTCTCCCAGTCTCTCATATCTAGCATTAAGTATTTGTTCCCAAATGAGTCATATTATTACAGTCGGGCGCCCATTGAATATCACGAATCACTGAATGATATAATCTATGGCCAGTTGTGTACAGTAGTAGTATGTGTTATGGTATGGTATGTATGTTTTGATGGTCTAACTCTCTCTTTCTCCACGGCTATTGTAGTCCACACACACACTCACACACACATGTGATGATCGGCTCATTGATCACACAAATAGTTAGGAAATGAAAAACAATTGTCCGAAAAATATAAGTTATTTTTCCTATACTATATGTAACATAGAGACAAACAATGCCTTTTTATGATGGGTTGACTTCAGGGTTAGTGAGTGAGTGAGTGAGTAAGTGAGCGATTGTGTGAAAGGAGGACAGGGAGTCCTAGCACTGGGACTGACCATACATTTTCTAGTTCAAGTCAATTGTTAGGTCAAGTGTGAAACAAATCTATAGATAACAGTAACAAAACTTTTATTTTTGTTGAAAGGATTTTATGTATTAATTATAGACTTATAAGTAAATCTAAAAATATATAAAAATTTTATGATTAAATTACTAATTAGTTTTATAACACATAGTTTTATATAAGTTTGTAAAAAAATTAACTAAAAAAATTTATCAAAATAAAAACTTTATTAGAAAATATAAAATAATAAGAAAATTATTTACATTGACTTGAATTTTAATAAATTGTAAAAATATTATTAAAAAAATTTTTTCCAAAAAAAGTTTGTTTAATATTATTATTATTAATAGTTTTCTCACATTTAGTGACAACAAAATAATAATATTTAACAACAAAATTTCCGACTCATTAAACAAATTGTTGTAATAATAGTTATATATATTTATTTTTTTGTCGCCACAAAACTTTATGTGTTATTATTATTATTATTATTAATGTCTAGTTTTTTGTCTGCACTTCAATAATAACTATTTTTTGTGTTATACTATCGTATTATATCATTGATATAAATAAGTATTTAAATATTAAAGTTTAACTAAGATAAAAAAAATTAATTTAATTTATTTTATTATTTGTCAAAATATACTGTATATCATATAATTTAATTTTAATAACATATATTATGGTATATATAATATTGATTATTATTTAAAAATTATTAAAATATATATATATATCATTGTCAACATTAAGGGTATAATCAAAGAGAAACAGAGAGAGAGAGAGAGAGAGAGAGAGAGAGAGAGAGAGAGAGAGAGAGAGAGAGAGAGAGAGAGAGAGAGAGAGAGAGAGAGAGAGAGAGAGAAATACCACAAAATATTTTGCCAATGAATCGACACAATAGTCTCTCTCTCTCTCTCTCTCTTTCTCTCTCTCTCTCTCTCTCTCTCTCATTCACTCTATCTCCCGGTGCTGTCAATTGTCATATTATGGTGAGTGTGTGTGTGTGTGTATGTGTTTGCCGACAAAATTGGTATTTAACAATAATATATATAAAAAAATTTTATAATAAAAATATATATTAAAAAAAATAAAATGGCAAACAATGGGTTGGGGTTTTCGCCATTCAATCATTCAATGATTTTTTTTATAATGATTTTCACTCATCTATTGAAATGCATTGATGGTGTCGGACCTCCCATTCCTTGCTCCTGATGTTGCTGTTGTGTGTGTGTGTTGTGTGTGATTATGACAGCACTGGTAGTGTGAATGTATGCCAATAGCACACATACACACACCACACCATATATTGTACAATACAATGGTATTCAACATATATCTGTAGGTTTTTTTGAGGTATATGTTTTGTGTACCCATTATTTAAGTAAAATATTTTATACATTTTTTTTGGTTTTCAATGTTAAAGTTTATGCCATTATGTGTGTGTGTGTGTGTGTGTGTGTGTGTTGTAAACATTGATTTACACGGTTTAATAAATAAGTAAATTTTAATTTATAATATTTACTTATTTTTAAATTTTATATTTATTTATTATTTTTAAATATCAAAATTTAATTTTTGTAATTTATTTAATATAACTCCAGAATCATATATTTTTCAATAAATAATTAAAACAAATAAACAAATTTAGAAAAAAACAATTTTAATTTAAACGAAATTTATTGACATTTATTGATAGTTAGATAATTAAAAAATAATTAAATTTATTATTAATTAATTATATATATATTGCATATACATATTGAAAAAATATTTAACATAATATTACTATTGGAAGTAAATATTTTCTAGAAATTTATGTTTTGAAAATTACATTTAAATTTTAATTATATATAAATACATTATTCAATATAAAATCTATTCAATTTATTTCAGTTACATTTGTAATTATAAGTAATATTCAGTAAATATATTGATATATTGTATATATATATATATATTACATTAGTTTTATTCAAAAATGTTAAAATATGGAGGATTTAATATCATGTTATTAGTGCCAAAAAAATGTTTACACAATAAAGTTATATTCATATATATATATATATACACCGTATATACAGTATTAGACAAAATATTTTTTTACAATCCATATCTATCAATACAAATGTATTTAAGTTTTATTATTATTATTATTACTATTTCAATAGGTATTAACTGCCGGGACTTACAAAACAGTAACAGCCATTTGGGATCAAAAAATAGGTATTACTTATTGCAAATCAATGAAATAAAAAAAACTATTGATATATATTTGGACAGTTATGTTGTGTGTGTGTGTGTGTGTCAACCAGATTGAGGGATAAACTAAATATATATATATATCCCGATGTTCAGTGACATTGAAAACTAGCTGTCAATCTACTACTACTACTACTAGCTGTCAATCCCCTACCGAAAAAGCCACGGCTGTAACAACACATGTATTTAATGTTAAGAAAGATAGAGAGAGAGAGAGAGAAAGTTATTGAGAGCACCGGTAGATAGATTAATACACATTTACTGTGCCATATGACCGAAAAAAAACACAGATAGCCTAATATCCATCCCTCCCTTGAATTGAAATTGATTTTATAGTTACCGACTAACAAAAAAAATATTAGGCGACAAAACATTGAACACCAAAAATGCTTAGAGATATACACAATAATATATATATATATATATATATATATATATTTAGTACAATACTGTATATTAAATATATCGATGAGATTATACTGTATAGTATAGAGTTTTAGAGCTTTATATAACTTCAATGTGAAAGAGTAATCCATATTAATCCCTGTGCCCTAACAATAAGCTCCTGTAGTTATAACACATACACACACACACACACACACACACACACACTTGAAACGGGAAATTTGTTTTCTCTTTCTCCCACTTTTATCAATAAGTTTATATCTCCCGGTGCTGTCAACCTAACTATCTCTCTCTCTCTCTCTCTCTCTCTCTCTCTCTCTCTCTCTCTCTCTCTCTCTCTCTCTCTCTCTCTCTCTCTCTCTCTCTCTCTCTCTCTCTCTCTCTCTCTCTCTCTACTCTTACTCTTCTAAATGATTTACACAAAATAATACCAGAAAAATATATAATATATACTTTATATATAACAAAAATTTTTACATTATATATATATAACTGAAATACAGTTTAGTGATTATATTAGATGATATGTCAATCAAAATGGACTACTATTGTATAGCCTGTAGTGTCACTGAATTTTTGTTGTAGGCTATGGGGAAACTCCTATTATACTACCGAATCCAAGTGTCTGTATGTACTGTATGTCACCCCTTATCTACTCAAACATCTGAGTCCTCCAAACAACACATTGCATAAGATTAGGACAATATATAGTTTTATTTAGAAATTGTGATACAAATTAATGCCTAATTTTTTTTGTTGGTTACTCTGAGAGACCCCCCTATAATCCCCTAATAATACAGTAGTACACCCTTAGAGAAAGTAATTGGATTTTTATTAGAGATTTTCTATACCTCTCTCTCTCTCTCTCTCTCTCTCTCTCTCTCTCTCTCTCTCTCTCTCTCTCTCTCTCTCTCTCTCTCTCTCTCTCTCTCTCTCTCTCTCTTTCAGTGATAGAGTTAATAATTATAATGAAATACCAATAATAATAATAAAATGTTACCAAACAGTTAGATAATTAAATTTAACATTTTTTTACAATAATACTGTTTAAAATGTGTGTAAATAGATATTATATATATATTATATGATTTTATATTTTTTTGTAATTTAAAAATTCCTAATGAATATGTAGATTGCAATTATTAATCAAATATATATATATATATATCAAAATTATATACATAAATTTAAATGTATCAAATATATAATATA